ACCAACAAGCTGCACAGGGTGTTGCAAATTAGTAAATTTGCCATGACCCGAAGCTTGGCTGTTAGAGAGCCCTGCATGAGTCTTACCAGTGCTTCCAGGCCAACTGCACTCAGGGGCACTGACTTGTACCTTACAAACCCATTAAAAAAGAGCATGGGTGATAGACCCATACTGGCCTGGCTTTGCCACATACTGGCTTTGAGCTTGAACAACTAATTGCCCTCACTAAGACTCAGTTTTCTCCTCTGTAAAATGAAAATGATGCTCTACCTATTGTAGTTATTGTGAGGACTTGACAAGATAGAATATTTGGACTATAGTAAGAATGTAACAAATAGAAATGTAATATTAGTGATAATGATAAGGATGATAGTAATAGTGACAATGACAGCCATGATTAGAATAGCCACTTGCTAATTTGCTACTGTAAATATTACTGTCAGTTTTATGGGACAGACCCCTCAGCATTAACTGAAAGTTTTCTCCCTGTAGACAAATCGTACATAGGAAGACAAACTGTCAGAAAGTTATGTAGTACCTCAAGTCTTAACTAGGGGAGTTAGTTTAATGGTTTACAGTCCTAATGGCCTGATGCAGCCCCCTGACCACATGGCTGTAACTCCCAGGTTACCCAGACCTTCCTATCCGTCTATCAGGAAATCTCTGTCCTGGACAATTTTGAATTAACACTGGCATTCTCTGCCTCTCTGATTCTTCTTCCTTCTTCCTTCTTCCTTCTTCCTTCTTCCTTCTTCTTCTTCTTTTTCTTCTTCTTGTTCTTCTTCTTCTTCTTCTTCTTCTTCTTCTTCTTCTTCTTCTTCTTCTTCTTCTGCTTCTTCTTCTTCTTCTTCCTCTTTGTCCTCTTCTTCTTTTTTTTTTTTTGATGTTTTTTATTACTGAGGAATGCTCTTCTTACTGGCCTCTTAGTTCTCTAATGATCATTTCCTCCTCTCCACCTAAGCCATTGCCTCCCTTGAACCTTGTCATCGCTGAAGCCCTCATCACCTCCAAAGTCTTGAGATCTCCTGTTCTCTAACCTTGGAAATTTCCTGTCCTTGTCTCTTATTCATAATCTAATATCCTCCTACATAATTTCTTCAACCACATTATAAATCCCAGTCCATAGATCCCAACACTTTCTATTCATTGTCTTCTCCTGCTATTTGTTTGGCTTCGGTTCCATGATCCAATCAATATTATCATTTCTCTGCTCACTCCTGATTCCCCTGGCTCTTCTCTCCTTCCATCACAATCATATTGCAAAACTCCTCCCAGGATGAACTCAGTGATCCATCATTTTCATTTCCATTCCTGAGCAGCTAAACATAAATGGAGAAATTCACACAATTAGACTGATTTCATTTAAAATTAACAATCTCAACATTTTCAATAAGTTCTCACCACTGGCAGAGTCCTACCATATTACCTCAGTAAGCTTGCTCCCCAACTCTCTGACATAAGATAACTCTTATGTCATCTTCCCTATTCAAACCTCCTACCTCTTTCCTGCCTTTTCTCAGTTGATGACTTTGCCTCATGCTTCACTTGAAAAAACTGAAACGTTTTCTCAACACCATCAAGATGTCTCTGTTTCTTGCACCCATCCTCTTCTTGTTGTTCTTAGTTATGAAACTAAGAAATTCCCTCTCCTTCTATCAAGGTCCAGTCATTGACATATTCTTTTGTTCCTATCCCATGTTGACTCCTGGAGAACTTTAGTCTCCTCAGCCCCATATCTTCACTGTCTCCTTCTCTACTGGATCATTCCATCAGCCTGCAAGCATAACATCTCTTGACTTTACATATATACATACCTTGACCTTATACCCCCCTTGCATCCACTCACTCACTGAACAACTCAGAGCTCTGGTTCTGCCTCACAACCAAACTTCCAGAAACAGTTGTCCATAAAAGTGATTTCTCTATTGATACTGCCCTCCTATTTTCCACCTCCACACTCCACCATAATTGCTCTTAATGTTACCTACAACTGCCAATTCTTGTCTTTTTGCTCTTTTTGGTTTCTTAGTTCTCTAGCTTCACACTATATATTTTTTCCTACCTTTTTAGCCACTTCTCTATCTCTTTTTGCTAGCATCTCTCCCTATACCCATTGGTAAGCATGGAGTCCCTAGCATGATCTCAGACTCAATTCTCATATTTCTCAAGAACCCTCACCCACGGTGATTCATCTCTTCCCATGCAATTAACTACTATCTGTATGTTATGCACACCTGAAATTGTAACTGTAGCCAAATTTCTCTTCTGGGGAGAGAATGTGTGTATTGAATTACCTTCTTGACCTCTCAAGAGCCATCTCAAAGTTGACATAACACTGTTAATATTCTGTCCACCTTAAGTAAAAACCATTTATCACCCTAGTCTTCTGTATCTCTGTTTAAATGACACCATCAACCACCCAGTTTCTCAAACTAAAATCCACAGCATTATCTTAATGTACCTCCTTATTCAGACTTCATATCTAATCTTTCAACCCATGAAGTTTCAATACCCAAAATACATCTCTATCTATTTTTCTTCACTCTGCCAACACTTTAATCTGAGTCACTATTGGGTTTTATCTGGACTATTGTGAGAGTTTCCTGAGTCTTCTGGTTTCCAATCTTGCAAAATCATAGAGCTCATCTACTTAAAACCCTTTAAAATCTTGCCATTGCATTTTAGTTAAGACATAAACTTGTTATCTCTACCTTGAAAACCCTGGATGGCCTGGCCCATGCCTTGCCTCGCACACCTTATCTTGGGCTACTCTGCACCTCCACTGCTAATTTCCCTGCTGGGCTCATCTCCTTTCAGTTCTTTGAACACGCCTGACTTCTTATGCCTTAGGGCCTTCACACACACACACACACACACACACACACACACACACACACAACATTTTCCCTGCTTCTTATGTGTATGACTCTTGTCTTTGAGGTCTTTGCTCAAATGTCACTTCCACAGAGAGTCATTCATCACCTACTTATGAAAGTGTTCTCAATTGTGTTTCTATAACTACAGTGGGTTTTATTCTTCATAGCAGTCATTAAAATTTATAGTTACATTTTTATCTGTTTGTTTGTATTTCTTTTTCTCTTTCTTTCCCCGTAGGCTGTGAGCTCAAGGGGCAGAGCCCAGCCCCATTTTAGGCACCGATTTATACCTGGTGCAGAGAGAAATGCTAGGACCCTTTCATTCCTCTGTACCTTACCTGTGCTCTCGTTGCTGCCTCTACCCAGTGTTGTGAATGATACCTGCAGCCTCCACTGATGTTTCCCCCTGCTGCTGAGGAAGCCTGGGACAGAAATTGAAGCTCATAAAAATATTCACTGAATGAATGAATGAGTAGATGAATACCAACATCCCATACATTTTCAGAACTTCTGTTCTCAATGAAGTTCTGTTGTTAAGATTACCACATTTGTGTCATTGGGAATCGACTAAGGGAGATGTGTGTAAAGTCTGGCAAGCTTGACTTTGGCAATGCCCTCCTTTCCTTCCAATCCCCTTTTTCGGTCTGGCATGGAGCGGTTCCCCCCAACCTCCACTTCCACTCCAGGGATATCTTTTCTTCTTTGACCCTAGCTCTTCTAGGGAGTTAATTTTACCACTTATGTATGTTCTAGCCACGTTGGATTTCTCTTCACTTTCTAGAAATGGTTAAGACCGTTTCACAGTCTGTACCTGCTCCCACCCCAGGCTGTGAGTGACACTTGAAGACCCTGCTGATGATGTCCCCTTCTGCTTAGGAGCAAGTACAGATTGTGGCAGTTTCATCACCACTAGAGCCATGGGTGCTAGAACCCATGGGCACCACTGGATGCCAAAGCTAAACTGGGCCCTCTGGAGCCCTTAACATCCAGAAGCCACATGGAGTAGGGGAAATGCTCCTCTCCCCTTCTGTGTCACATTCTGTTAGCTGGGTGTCAAAGCAGCATATCTTCTCTCCCCATCTCTAATGTCATAGAGTTTTTCAAATTTGGATTTTGTGGTCTCAGGTAGATATCAGAGTCCAAGACATTGCAATAACGTAATTAGTTTTGTTTTAATTTTGTTAAGTAGGGATAATAATGGCAATATAAACATATTCCAAGTCTTCTGCAGGGCCACCTTATGATCCAGTACTGCCACAACATTTCAATGAGTACAACTAATTCGTATTAATAAACATATGAACTGAAAGTGTAATTACATTATGAAGTACTGCGCAACATTTTTGGCAACTGTTTGGAAAGAAAGAAAAGTGGGGTGTTGGGGCAGAATTAATCTTTACATGGCACATGCCAATCTAAGCATGCCCCAGAGCATCATGGAAGGAATTCGTGTTGCCAACTGATGTTTTATTCTGACCCCATCTTTGAAGGCATCAAATAGCAACCATTGGTTATGTCTGCACATTCTTTCGTAGGATTATAATAAAAATACTTAGTTAACGTTAAGTTTCCCAAAGAATCTTTTAATCTTTTTTAAAAAATTGGTCAATACATTACTTGTACTATGAAATGCTTTATCAAGGAGATTTTAGCAAAATATCTCTTTTCCTTTTTATTTTTAATTCTTGTTTTTTTTTTTTTGTTTGTTTTTAATAACCAACCCCAACTCTCTCTCAAACTCAGACAGAGGCTCTCCAGGGCTAGACTAAAAGATAAACCTAAACTCCTGACCCCATTATATACTCAGAATTATCTTCCTGCCCTACCTTCAAACCACTGGGGTGGCTTCTTAGGCCACACCTGGCTCTCCTGTAGGACTGATTCTCTCCCAGAAGTCTCTGTGTAACCAGCTTTCTGACGCCCACCCCTCCAGTCCTCATACATAAATGTGCCTTGTCACAACTTAAGCTGGAATCTCCACTAAGCTGACTTATAGAATGAATACATAAAAAATAAAGAGTATACAAGTGATTGAATGATATGAAGAATTAATTCACCTGGCGGTAGAAAAGCCATTGCTTGCTCACTGTTTGATTTGGAGAAAAAAGTGTTCTCTCATTCCAGGTAATAGAAGACAAACATAAGTTAGAAAAGGATAAAGGGAAAGCAAAATCTCCTAAGGAGAAAAAGGCTCCAAGTGCCAAGTCTGCCAAAGGAAAGGGAAAAGATCAGCCTGAGGCCAATGCACCAGTGAAAAAGACCACCCAGTTAAAACGGAGAGGAGAAGACGACGACACCAATCGTTACATAGGTCAGTAAGGCGCTGTTGCTGGCGGTGCCTTTCACGTGTTTCATTCCCATGAGTGAAACACAGTGGTAATAAAATCAGACCAGTTAATTTGGTGACTCACATAGAGTGCGTAGTTTCCTGACCCCAATTCCCTCGCAATCATTTTGCCCTAGGTAGAGACACTAGAATTTTCCTGCCTCACGACCTGTGATGCAATTGGAGCAGTCATCCCGATAACTATGCTTAGTCTTTCTCAGCCTTTTCACTCGTTAGAAACCTAAATCACTTACTCCCATGACATCCTGAGAGAAAAAGACTTCTATTTGCAATTCATTTATGTCTGAAAGCAAATTTTTCTTGAGACAGGGTCTTCCTCTGTCACCCAGGCTAGAGTGCAGTGGCACAATCATGGCTTACTATAGCTTCAAACTCCCAGGCTCAAGCCATCCTTCCATCTCAGCCTCCCCAGTAGTTGGGACTACAGGCACATGACCATGCTCAACTTTTTTACTTATTAATTTGTTTTGCACAGACAGGATCTCTTTATGTTGCCCAGAGTGGTCTTGAACACCTGGCCTCAAGTGACTCTCCCTCCTCAGCCTCCTAAAGTGCTGGGATTACCGGCAAGAGCCACTACACCTGGCTCTCTTAAACAAATATTTATTAAGCATGTGTCTTGCTAGGCCACATTTACACAGTGCAAATAAATGCTGAGATAGCCAGTTGACTGTGCCACCAAGGAGCTTACTATCTTGTGCACATATAGGAAAGTCAGACATAATTATAAAGCAAAATAAAAAGTGATTATAGTCATGAGTGAAACACAGTGGTAATAAAATCAGACCAGTTAATTTGGTGACTCACATAGAGCATATAGTTTCCTGACCCTAACTCCCCTACAGTCATTTTGCCCTACCTAGATAGAGACACTAGAATTTTTCTTACATTTTAGTTTATTAATATAAAAATGATTCATCCTAGGTAGCTGTAAGTAATTCATTCCTGCCTTCCCTTGAACACAAATGAGCTACTTGTTGTTATCTGCATATTTAAATGAGATAGCAGAGGGCTTTCCCATCCTTTACCAGTTGACTCCCCTCCTGCATCTCTGCTCTAAATCTAATAGACTTCGAAGAAGTGATATTATGAAGTCCATCGGCAACATCAACATTGATTAGTTTAGTGCCAGAAGAAAATGAAAAATTGTGCCTCTGTTTCACTATTTATGTATTGATCTTAATGGGCTTTTGTGAATGTAGTGCTTTTGTGTACCATGTGCATTCAGTATTAACGTGTAACAATTCTCACCCTCCAGAATGTCACATTCTAAAATAAACATGTTTTAATATTCATAAAACAGTATAACCAGTGCCAAATAAAGGAGAAAAATGTTAGGAAAGTGCACACTATGTATTTTAAATTTTTAATGCAATAAATACATAGTTACTACATAATCCATCCTCGGATTCACACCCATTGACCTAAGTGCATACAACACTTTTTAAGGGAGCATGTCCATATTCAATATTTCCCTCTCCTGTAAACACCTCTAGTTATAAAATACTACAAAGCTGTAGCTATTTGTAATTCAGGAGTAAAGCCAGATGTTGCTCAAAAGAGATTAGAACCCAGAAAAGTTACAGGCTAAACTCTTTAACAAAAACCCAAGCACACATTTTCCATGACCACAAGCCCCATATAGGTTTGTCCTTCTAGTACGCCTATGTCTCATTTGCAAAAGTGATTTAATATTTTGTAAAATAGTCACAGCCTTCTTACTGGAAGAGCAATAATGAAAAACAGTCAACATGACTGCATTCCAGCCAACTGGATCATTTTTGGCAAGCCAGAGGGATTATAAATGCATGCATAATGTATATAGCCATTGAACTGGCTGAGTGCAACCTGCTCTCTTTTACAATGATGGCTGCTCTGCTTTATGGTATTTTGAACAGACGATGAGCCAGATGATGGTGCCCAACATTACATTATAGTCGTGGGCTTCAACAATCCTCAGCTATTAGCAATTATGGCTGAGCTTGGCATTCCTATAACCAGCGTGATTAAAATATCTTCAGAGAATTATGAACCTCTGCAGTCACACCTGGCAGCAGTTAACCAGCAGCAGGAAGTTCTTCTTCAGCCAGAAGGTATGCAGTCTGCTACACAACTTATTGAGTCCTTCAGTATTACCCACTGTCCTTAAAATACAAGTATAATTTTCTGTCCAAAACATAGTCATACAATTCGTACATTATTAAATCTTTTCAAAACTTTGATTTGCTATTTACTCTGCTTGCACCAGCCAAGTGTTGTAAATTTTGCAAATTAAAATCATACCCTGTGTTTATATCATACCCTGTGTTATATCCCTGTATAGCCACAGAAAACAGGCTGCAGGTCAGAAGACTTGGTTATCCAACTACCTTTCTCTGGAGCATTTGATCTATAAGTTTTACCTAAAGGATGGGCTGGATGAATCACTGTTAATAATCTGTTCTTGCAGAAGTCACGTCACCAAGTAGCCCAAGGGAGGTCACAGGCTTCTTGCCCTGTTCTGCTGTTGGCTTATTGTGAGAAGACATGGGGGTGCTATATGTTCCTAGCCTTAGACTAGCAAGTTGTGGGATGAAGTTCCAATCATGCTGCCATTTAGCCATTTTGAGCCTTGAGGTCTTCATCTAAGAAGATTATCCTAGATGACTTCTGTGGAAGGGGAGCAAAAAGCCTCTTTTTGCTGGGGACTTCTGTGGAAGGGGTGTAAGATTGTGTTACCAGATGCCCAAGTCTTTTCTGCCATATGCTGTTGCTTGTATTGTTATTTATTAATAATATCATTTGCACAGTGCTTTGTATCTTACCCACATCCCAACTTTTATAACACTACATTTTTAAATTGCTGCTCAAAGTTAGAAATAGCTACCCTTGATAATACTAATAGCTCTCACATATTGGGCTCTTGTCTTGGGACTAGGCTCAATGCTAAGGGCATTAAGTATATTGATTCATGTGGTTTTCACAACAAGCCAAGGAAGTATGTTTTATTGTTTCCATTTTACAAAAATGGACTCTCAGTCTAGAGGCAGCTATTAAGTTAAAAAGTTGAAGTTCAAACCTAGGCTATTCCTGATTATCTCAGAGGATAGTTATAACATTAAATGGCTTGTTACTGAAGTGAAAAAATGCTGCATACGCTCCAAACACAGTCTCTCTATAAAAATATTAAGTATATAAAAATAAAATAAAAAATAGACTTTAAAATAGAATAATGAGATCTTTGTAGTAGAAACTACTATTTAATTATAGATGTAATAAGCATAAATATTTCAGGCAAATTTTTAAGCATAATTTTATGGAAATCTGTCATTATTTTACAGTAAAAGTACAAATACCCAGAGAAGCGTCTTGCTATTTAATGTGACCAAAAGGTAACTGAAACATACAACATTGATCTACTCTGTTTTTAGCAATATAAGAAGGAGAACCAGATAAATTGCATTTGTAATCAGTTATGTAGCAGACACTAAGCTGATTAAAATGGTGATTTGGCAGAAAAACTGGTCCTATGTAGATTGTCATGTAAGAGTGATGGAAATCTTGAACATATTTAGCTCGCAAAATGTGTGACCTAGTCATAGTCTTTCTGGGCCTCAACTATAAAATGAAGGCATGAGATAAGCTCATATTTAATATGAATCTCAGAAGTAAAGTTCTCTGATTTAATAATTGTATACTCCAACTTCAAAAATTCATCAAAATTACATTCCTTTATTTACATTTTCTGGTACTGTACAGATATCTTGCATGTCCATCACCATGTCCACTTAAAGTGGGAAAACATTTAACACTCTTATTTTATAATATAAACATGTTGCTATTATTAGATCTAGAAGCAGAAAAATTGAAGAAAGAAAACGCCATAAAAGAGCTTAAAACTTTCTGGAAGTACTTGGAACCAATCCTGAATAATGAGAAACCTGAAACAAATCTCTTTGATGTTGCTAGACTTGAATACATGGTCAAAGCAGCTGGTTTTCCTTCTGACTGGTCAGATGGCGAGATAATGGTTAGTACACATGTTACTGAGAATGCATGGTTTTAATATGTGACACAATGGTTCTATTTGCTCCGTTTATTCATGACATAGATAGTTACTGAGCGCTGATTATAAGACATTGAGCTAGGTTCTTTTATCATCAGGATAATGATAATATTGAATGCTCAATGATGGTTATAGTCTGATTCATTAGCTTTTAGTGTGTGAATTAACAGCAAATAATAAGATGTAGTAATGATGATCAAAAGGATGGTGATTCTTTTATTTGGTGACACGTGGCTTTGTTTTATAACTCAACAATGTTCTAGGCAGTAATTAGAATTTTCATATATATTAATTTTAAAATAGTAAATTTTATAGTTTGTTGAATTATGTGTCTGACTTTTTATGTTTCAGTTCCATACATTGCTTTTCTAAACCCTTGCTTTTATTCCCCCCAATTTTTTTTTTTTTTTTTTTTTTGAGACAGAGTCTTGCGCTGTCACCCAGGCTGGAGTGCAGTGGTGTGATATCACTGCAACCTCTGCTTCCTGGGTTCAAGTGATTCTCCTGCCTCAGCCTCCCATGTAGCTGGGACTACAGGCATATGCCACCATGCCCAGCTAATGTTTGTATTTTTAGTAGAGACAGGGTTTCACCATGTTGGCCAAGCTGGTCTCAAACTCCTGACCTCAGGTGATCCTCCTGCCTCGGCGTCCCAAAGTGCTAGGATTACAGGTGTGAGCCACTGTGCCTGGCCCCAGAATCTTACTTTTAATATATTTGGCCTAGAAGGTCTATCCTAATAGGATGACTTGATCTTGGCCCTGTAGTTATCAGGCATTTCCCAAGAGTGGGGTTTCCTGGCCCCTGCTATTGAGGAGCTTGCAGAGAGGCAAGACTAAAACTGTGAAACAGAGAAGCAGTGGTCAAGGACCCACATATCTAGGGGCTCGGTTATGTGAAACAAACTCTTAAGTTTCCTACTAATGCAGACAAAGAAAAAATGGAATGATTGGAAATGTAGTGAATGACAGATGCATGACGGCTTTTTAACAAAACGGAAGGTCAAGTGACTACTTATGGAAGATGTTGTGGGAAGTATTCAGGCATCCCTCTGTTACAGAAAATGTCTCAGGTCTCTTTCTAGTTGACCCCTTATCCCAACTAACAGGGGCCTGGGAGTGTTGAATACTCTGCAGGACGATATATTTCAGCATTAATGGAGCTGAAATGAAAGCGAAGTCCTAGGGAAAGACAATATCAAGTGAGTGCTCTGAAAAAGGCTGGGCAAAGTGGAGTGTGGAGGATGGATGGGTATCTGCATAATAACTGTGGGTAGCTGACAAGAAAAGAAACACACAAAAGCCAACTGTCTGAAGGAAGAGTGAGATCAAAGCCTGGAACTGTTTCTACAGCCGAGGGTAGGCTATGGGGCATGGACACTTCAGACTCTGAGTGTCCCTGGTTCTATTACCTTGAGATGGATATGCACTTAAAGAAGTAAGTGATAATGCTGAGGAGAGTGGCTAGACTTGAACCCTGAAGGATGGACAGGACTTGAATAAGTAGTAATGGAGAGATCCATTTGAGTTATAAAGACTCTTAACACAAGGCATTAGATGGCACTATATAGAAACACCACACTTAAGTCTGATATCCTGATGACTCTCAGCCTTGTTCTCTGCATGGAAAATAAAGCTGAATGCAGAAAAGCTGTGATAAAAAGCAGAGTTAGTTCTGGGAAAGACTAGAGACTCCAAACTCCCTTTGTCCTTGCCCCTCCCCACCCCTTCATCTAGATAGGTTCAGCTTTCCTGTCTTCCACTCTCCTGCCTCCTAAACCTGAGCTCACAGAAGGACCCACTGTCCTGTCCTTTACTATTTCATGTTGCCTTGGGTTAATATGTTTCCCTATCCCGGAGATATTGGCATTCCAAGTAACATATGAACATTCCATCCTGTTTTCTTGAAATTCTAGATTATACTCAAAATGTGACATATATTGGGGGAAGAGGCTATTTCTTTGGGATCCTGAAATCCCACCTCAAATCCAGCTTCTTACTCTGTCTTCCACAGACCAGCTGTTCTCCCAAGCATGTAAAATCTCTGGTTAATAAAACTCACATCCACAAAGTTAAATTTTGAAGAAACACCGCTCCTCTCATTTGGGCCAAGTCCTGGCTACATACCCTATAAAGAACTTGTGTACATTTTTGGTTCAACAGGGTATGGGAGATCCCAGCCTTATAATTCGTGAACCATAATTCATTCAGAGGAGAATGCTTCTAAGTCAGTCTCAAACCGAGTACCTTTTGCTCCATCTCTAGCTAGGGCTCCCTACTGTGTGTCTTCTTTACTTTCCAGGCACAGGCTGAATAAAGCTGAAATGCAGTAGTCTAAAATTGTGTACATTCCATTGCATCACCAGAACATAGACATGAACACTGTGGTATACAATGGCAACTTCAAAGGACCGAGCAACATTTCTAGCACTCTGCTTCCCACTGCAGTGTCCACAATTTCCTATTCATTAGATTTCAATCACTTCCTTTTAAAGAAAGTGGTAGTGGCTATATTTTACTTTAAAAATACAGAATGGAAGAGCTTAAATGGAAACTAAAGTTCAGAAAAATTATTTTATGTGGAAAAATATTACCATTCTAGTTATGGTGGAACATTCCTGACTTCAGAAGTGGAACGTTAATGTAAAGGGTCTCTAGTTGGGCCAGGAAGGTAACTGTCAACAATGAAAACATTCAGGTCTCTACAGAGCCAATTAGGGCTGTGTTGCCCAGCTTCCCAGACTGATCTATTAGTCAATTTGCAGGTATTTACTGAATATCATCTTATACCAGGGCTGTGGTCTGGGTCCAACTGCAGTAACCTTTTAAAGTCCATGCATGCCTCTCTAAGATACAGTTTGTGAGTGAAGCACTCAGCATTGAGGATAATGGGGAGGGAAAGTCTTGAAAACGGTTCAGTCATTAAGTTGGATTCTAGAAGAAAAAGTCATTGAATTTAATAGGTAAGATCAAAGTTCATTTTAAACAAGATCATTTAATAAGAATAAAAATGATAAATCTACTCCTAGCAGAAGCAGATCAAATGCATAGTGTCACACTTTAAGCTATATCTGTAAACTGATAATGTCTTCATATCCAGAATAGGATCCATCCAAGGAGCCCTCTTCCCCTTTTATTGGAGGAAAGCATTTGCAACCTTTCCAAACTTTGGCTGCAAACAAGCGGGCTATATTTCTGTTGAACCAAGGTAACAAAAGCTTTACATCAAATAAATGCCCTTCAAGGCATGATAACTGTCCCTGAAAGACATCGGCAACATTTCAAGTTAAGACCCTGGTTGCTGAAATAATGTGTTGTCCTTAGCATATGATTTGCTGTTGGATTTTAAAATCAATTATCTAGATTAAGCTAAGGGATCACTGGGCAAAAGTTTTACTCTATTTCCTAGAAATAAAAACAAAAACAAAAACATATTTCTATGCCAGAATTTGGGCAAGTAATACCAGATTGAAGCTTGACTGCAGAAGCCTCAGCCTTAGTGGGAATGGGAAGTCAGCAAGCAACCAGGTGCACCATAGTGATTGGCAGAGCCGTGCATGTCACTGGACTTCTGCATACAAGGAACCATCTCATACCACCTTACTTCTTGAACTCAGACATAGGATGAGCCTATTTTGTTCTTCTTTGCTTCCAGTCAGACAGACCCAGCCATCACATTGCTTTCCTACTTCTGGAAACAAAAGCCCAAGTAATAGAGGTATCTGAGCTACAGTTTGCTTGCCAGCTCATAAAACTTGTGGGTATTATAGAAACAATAGTCTATCAGGATTTCTTAGTGTTTTGCCGTAGAGATAGAACAGGTGAAATGAAAGAGGTGGAGGTTGGAGGAAAAGAAGAAATACTGATTGCCCAAATACTTGTGTAGATGCAACGTATTGGGTAGATGATCCACAAAGCAGAGTCAGTGTTTCCACTGTGCTCCTTGCATAGCCAGGTAAGAAATCTTCTATAGCTTGTCACTGGCTGAGGATATTAAAGTTACCTAATGTGTTTTAGGAATTGAGATACTAAGAATATAGGCCACACTGCTGAAACTCATGACTCAGTTGTATTTCTTTTAGTTGAAGCATTAATTAGGCTCTTAAAACATTAGGCAGCCATATGACCCTCCAAAGGAAACAGTCCACATTGTGGTAAACAAAGAAGGACAAGAAAGGTTCAGGAATATAAATGGGGTCACCATGGCTGGGATTCAATGGTTTGGGGATTTAGGGGTTTGCTTTCCTGTATAAAGTTGATCGGCGTAGCTGTTAAGAGAGATATAAACCATATATCTGATTCCAACAGTATAAAACTAGTAACCAATTGCCATTAAATCTCTCACTTGTAGCTGAAATTGGGCACTGATATCTTTGAAAATATTGCCTGTCTGATGTATGACGTCCTGGATTGGAAAAGACAGCACCAGCACTATTTGGAAAGTATGCAGCTTATTAATGTTCCACAAGTGGTTAATGAGAAACCTGTATTAGAAGCCATGCCAACTTTGGAGGTAGGCATGGGCTCAATGTCTTTAGTGGGATGAACGATTCACTGCACAACTTTATTTTCATATTTATAAGGCATATGAAGAAAAAGTTATAAAATACTTACATTAAGGTCATACTGCCTACTGCCATAAAAGATAGCTACATGGTGGGGCTTTATGGAGCTCCTCAACTACCAGACATTTACAGAGGCAGGGATGGAACCCTCTTGTCAGCACTCAGTACAATGAATAACATCTATGACAGAAAGGATATTGATAAAGTAATTACAATATTTGTTTAGCACCTGGCTGTGTGCTAGCGCTTTGCAAGATGCTGATAATACAATAATGAAAACTCATTCCCTGTCCTCCTCATTGAGGTTAACTTTGGCAGTCAAGTCAACAATGATTTCAACATAGCATGATGAATGCTGAGAGCAGTCATCTCAGCTTGCGGTAGAAGAAATAAACCTGGTCACCTGATCTGGAGGGGAGCAGAGCAAAGAGAGGGAAGTCAGGAAAATTGAACCAGGATTATCGATGTGGGGAAAGATGAGTATGAAGTGCCTAATGGAAAGCGTGATAGGGGAAAGGGACAGAATGATATTCTCAAGAAAGGGGCAAAGATGTACAAAGATATGGAGGTCAAAGAAAAGCAGTACTATGGCACAAGCCAGGAGTACAGGGTAGTTCAGTGATCCCAGGCTGCATGTGCAAAGTGAAGAACAACAGAAACTAAACCTGGAGAGGCAGGAGCCAGGTCATGAATCTCCTTTGGTGCTAACTTGAGAGTCTGGTTTATATCATGTAGGCAATGGAGAACTGCTGAAGGATTGGGAGAGGGAAAATGGGATGACTCTGAGTCACCCAGGGGCCCAAAAAAGAAACCTGTTTGATGCTCAGTGCCCCATCACCCCATCACTTTCTTCACAATTGCTCAGTGGGTTCTGGTGGGAAAAACTAAATAATGTCTATACCATTACCTTCTTTCCTTCATCAGGCAAAACTCTGTTCCTTTGGTTCTAATATTAGCAGATGATTTTGTGGTGTGAACATAATTATACAACCTCAGAATCCTGTTGGATCTCATCATACCAGCATTTGGTGAGGGCATCTCTCAGCTGGGTATCTCAGTTGTTTCTTTTTAATTATTCTTTTTCTAGGCTCCACAACCTGCTGTACCAACTCCTGGAAAGAAGAAAACACAGTATGAAGAACCACAAGCTCCACCACCAGGCATGTATGAAATCGGCTGCTGAAGGATCAACACTACGAGCTGGCACTTTAAGAGATAATGACTGCCCTCCATATTACTTTCAGCCTCCCTTCACCTACAGCTCCTGCATTTATTAGTGCATAGTCATAGTTTGAAATTATGAATGAAATGTTGATGGAAATAATGGAGAACACATCTTAATTGGGCAATGGTTTTTTCTATATTTTACAGTGACTTCAGTCATCACAACTGAAGTAGACATGAGATACTACAATGATTTGCTGAATCCGATTCCAGAGGAATTCATTTCTGTGCCCCTGATACTGCATTGTATGCTAGAACAGGTGGGGATACTCTGAGGCATTTTATCAGGTTGTATACTTGAGTAAATTATTTCATCTTTCCCGGCTTCTGGTTTTTTTTACACTATTTTAAAATTATAATACCTAAATGCATTCACCTTTATAAAGATTAGAATATTTCAGATGAAACTAAAGTCTGCTTAAATCCTCAGCTTCAATTCTGTTTTCTTTTGCTATTCTTTGGAGCCATTTATGTAACATTCCCTGAAGTTTTGATAGAACATAACCTCAGTACTCTGTGTCTGGTGTCATTTTAATGGAAGAGGAAGAGGAAGAGGACATGGACAAGTGGGTGGGGTGGTTAATAGTCGTTATCTTTAAAATTTCTTTCATGCTTGTAGATTTAACTAGATTTTTATATTTCTGAGGCCAATTTTTGTCGTCAGCTTTTTTCTTAATGAATATGTCTTAATAAATACTTTACTGGAGTTTTAAATATGATACAATGTGCTTTACACTATTCACTTAAATATGTTCTAAAATTTCCTCTGTATCTGGTTATGTACCTTTCCTCATGACTGATGTTATTTATTTGTACCTCCCTTTTCTTGATCATGGTTGTTAAGGGCATAGCTATTGTTTTGGTCTTTTCAAAGAACCAGGATTTTGTTTCATTGATCAACATCTTTTTACTTTTTATTTTATTAATCTCTTCATTAATTTCATCTATGTATTTATATATTTTTATTTATTTAATTATTTTAAGACAAGGTCTCTCTCTATCCCCTAGGCTGGAGTGCAGTAGCACAATCACAGTTCACAATCTCAAACTCATGGGCTCAGTGTTCCTCCCACTTCAGCCTCCTGAGTATCTAGAACAACAGGCATGCACCACCATGCCCAGCACATTTAAAATATTTTTTTTTTGTAGAGACAAGGCCTTGCTATGTTGCCCAGTATGGTCTTTAATTTGTGGCCTCAAGCCAACCTCCCACCTAAGCCTCCCAAAGCATTGGGATTACAATCATGAACCACCGTGTCCGGCTCATCTCTGTCATTTCCATCTTTCTACTTTCTTTGGATTTATTTTGTATTTCATTTTAATTCAAAGCCTACTTCATTTATTTTTAGTCTTTTTGCTTTATTTAAGGCTACACATTTCTTTTCGAGTGTTTCTTTGTCTGCATCCTGATGCTTTCAGTGTATTCAATTCTAAATCTTTTAATTTATTTACATGTTTAACCCATGAATTATTTTGATTTCCATTATTTACTGATTATTTCTAATTATTTTTACATTATGATCAGTAGGCATGTTCTGCAAGTTAGCAAGTTAAAATTTCCTGAGGCTTCCTGTGTGACCTCATGTAACATGGTCATCGTGAATGTTCTATGTGTATCTGAAAGATTTTGTTATTCATATTAGTAGCACATACGTAGCACTTATAGGCACCAGGAACTGTTCTAAATACTTTCAATATGTTAACTCATGTAATCCTCAGAACAATCCTATGAAGCAAGAACTGTTTTTATCCCCCATTGTATTAGTCCATTTTCACACTGCTATAAAGATACTACCCCAGACTGGGTAATGTGTAAACAAAGGAGGTTTAATTGACTCACAGTTCTGCATGGCTGGAGACACCTCAGGAACCTTACAGTCATAGTGGAAGGCAAAGCAGGCACCTTCTTCACAAGGCAGCAGGAAAAAACTACCACTTTTTTTTTTTTTTTTTTTTTTTGAGACAGAGTCTCTCTCTGTCGCCCAGGCTGGAGTGCAGTGGCGCGATCTCAGCTCACTGCAAGCTCCGCCTCCCGGACTCCCGCCATTCTCCTGCCTCAGCCTCCCGGATAGCTGGGACTACAGGCGCTGCCACCGCGCCCGGCTGGTTTTTTGTATTTTTTAGTAGAGACGGGGTTTCACCGTGTTAGCCAGGATGGTCTCGATCTCCTGACCTCGTGATCCGCCGTCCTGGCCTCCCAAAGTGCTGGAAAACTACCACTTTTAAAACCATCAGGTCTCATGAGAATTTCATCATTATCATAAGAACAGCATGGGGGAAACCACCCCCATGCTCCAATCACCTCCCTCCCTCGACACGTGGGGATTACGATTCGAGGTGAGGTTTAGGTGAAGACACGGAGCCAAACCATATCACCCATCTTACAGATAAGGAAACTGAGGCACAAAACGTTTTTCGTTCAAATGCTAAGTAGCAGAAATGACTTAAAACCTAGTGAATCTGCACAGAAAAATATTTGGATGGGATTTCTGCATTGTCGTCTTCCTTTTAATGTTGCTGCTAAGAAGTCCGATGTCAATCTGATACCTTTTTCTTTGCAGATAATCTTTACTTTTCTTTCTAGCAGTTGTTAGGGTTTTCTCTTTATAATTGATAACACAAGACTATGTCGAGGTATGATTTTATCAAACTTGTCATTATGGTGTAAGGGAATTATAATCTGATTTCCAGTCACATTCTGTGTGCAATAAAAATTCCTTACACTGTCCCATAAAAGTCCTAAAAATAGAGTTCTGGATGTACCTGTCATCTCACCTCCTGCCCGCCACCACACACACACACACACACACAATTTGTCATCTACATAGGCCTCTGGTTTTTCCTCAGATATGTTACTTAATTCCACCTTAACCTTTTACTCTAACTTCTCTACCTAGAAAGCTTTCTGTCTTTCTGGAGGGTCTCCAGTGGAAGTGTCATTCCTTAGAGAGGCCTTCTCTGACCACCTGATCTAAAGAACCCTCTCCCCTACACAACACACAGCACTCTCTACCACATCGCCTTGTTTTATTTTCTTATCAACAGCTTTTCTTTTTGCAATATATTGATCAGCTATTTTTTCTTACCTTCACCATCCTCCTACTAGAATATAAACTCCACGCAAGCAGTAACAATGTAGTCTTGTTCATTGCTGTGTGCTCAGCACACAATAACCATACCTAACCCATAGTAGACACTAAATACGTATTTGTTAAATTGAGAAGATTCTGAGAAAGTCTTCTATCTTCAAGTACCATTTTTACTATCAATTTACCTTAATTATTACTGAATGGATGTTGGAGCTTCAGGGTTTTCCTCTTTGTCTTTTAAGTTTTCTTTCAATTTTATGCCTTTGGGAATTCTAGCTTACCTTCCTACTAATGGTTTCTTCAGGGAGTCCAATCTGCTATTGAAGTTTTGTTTTGGCAGTAATGTTTTTGATTTGTAAATTCTCTAATTTTTTTTTTACAATTGCCTATTGTTTTAGTTCATGGATATGACACATTTTTTTCCTGTTAATATGTAAAAGGTTTATTTTGAAGTCCTTTTCAGACTCTATCATCTCTATTACCTCCCATATACATTTTTCTGGTTTTTGACTGCCTTAGTTTTCTAATCAATTAGATAGCTACACTAATATTTGCCTATAATTGCTCCATGAAGTTTTTAGAATACCAATAGTTTTATGATATCAATAAATGCATAAAAGTACAAAAGCCCTATAGAGCTTGCAGTATCATTATTTTATTTATCTTAGCCTTTCTTGTTTTATTCTACTAAACTTAAAGCAACATTTATTAACCATCTACTATGTTCCAGGTACCAAAAGAGACAGTTAATGAGCTCAGTGCCTCACAAATAGAAGTCACTCAGTAGATCCATGTTGAATGAACTAAGGCTTAATAATAATAAAGGGATGAAAAAACTGAAATATATGAATTATGGGATGACATTTTACAGGATGGGATGTTAGAATTGAACATTTCAGAGAAAAAACAGTTTTGAGTCATCTTTTATGATTGAAGTGGGTCCAAGAAATGATCAGAGGATAGAAAGTGGGAACAGTGAGTGACTCTTCTGACAGTAGGGTGTTTCTAGGTAAAGAATAGGATGCAATTTTGTTGTTCTAGAGCAGTAGTTCTCAACAGGAGGTGATTTTGTTCCCAGAGGACATTTGGCTATGTCTGGAGATATTTGTGGTTGTCACATCTGGAAGGGTGCTACTTGCATAAAATGGGTAGACACCAGGGACATTGCTAAACATCCTATAGTGCACAGGACAGCCCCTACAACAAGTAATTATCTAGGCCAAAATGTCATTAATGCCAAGGCTGAGGAAACTTGTAGAGGGATATGAAATCATAAGAGGATGATTATAGGATATAGGGTAAAGGGAAAAGCTGTAAATTAGGTGCCTAACTTGATAATGTTTCAAACTCTTTTACTTGTTTACCATGTAAAATTGAACAAGGCGCTTAATCTTTCTGGACCTCACTTTCCCCACATAAAGGAGACACTATTCCATTTGCTGATCTCATAATCTAATAACTTTTCTATTTTTGAAGAATGAATGAGGATCTGGCCTGAACCCCAGTTTCTCCCACTCAATATCCTTGAGCTTTGGCCAATCACTCTAGTTTTCTCCTCTATACAATGGAAAATAATATCTGCCCCCACAAGATTGCTATGAGGCTTAAATGATCATATGCAAAGATGTGTTACATAGTACCTGGCTTGTGGTAGACACTCAGTAAATATTGAATGAATCCAAAGTTGTATGAGCACTCTTCCCACTGCTTTAACATAAAGAGTAAATATTAAGAAAAAGTATGTTGTTATTCTATTTGAATAGAATCTTCATGAAATATTTTCATCAAAAGTTTATTGTTTACCATTTTTATGTTATCTATTTTAATACAAATATTAAATTTGTACCTACCTTAATGCATGGATTGCAAACACTTTTCCTTTTATTTGGTGGTCACTGATAGTTTCCCGCCATTTTGTGTCAGCAGTGGTACTTGGGTCGTAGAAATAGACTGGTTCTTACTAAGCAATGGGAATGAAGCAATGAGCAGCGAGTATCACTAAAGAGCGGACCCTTATACCAATTCCTTTCATTGTTGATTTCAACAGGTTGTGGCAACTGAAGAAGATCTTGTCCCACCCAGTCTGCGGGAGCCATCCCCCAGAGCAGACGGGCTAGACCACAGAATCGCAGCTCACATTGTGTCCCTTCTGCCCTCACTCTGTCTCTCAGAGAGGGAGAAAAAGGTCAGATAGTCTGAGATAGCAGAGTCTTCATGCTTTGGAAAAGCATAGATTCTCTCTTTAAATCAATATTATTTCAATTTGCGTAGAATCTTCAGGAAATATTTTTATCTGAAGAAGAAAATGAAAGCAAAGCAGTGCCCAAAGGCCCCCTCCTACTGAACTATCATGATGCACACGCCCACAAGAAGTACACACTGAAGGTAATGATAATCAGGTTAGCCAAAGAAAACCGATGTGGGAAAGTGTGTGTGTAACTATTCGTTGAAAGAAGCTAATTAGATAACTTCATCAACACTAATTAAAATGTAATGTACAAAATAGATACTTGCGTACAAAGTAGGACCTGGAAAATGAACCTAGATACAGGGAAAAATGATGTCAGCCTAGGAAATCTGTCTGATTATTGAGGTTTAATTAACAATTCAATTAATTGTTACCACCACTAAATGTGCATTAAAACCTTATAATTATTTGCTTTAAATATCTGCTGCTATGAAAAACTAGTAGAAGCCAGAAAAGGATCTCAAAAGAGAGAGATGAATATATATGAGACTTTGGCAGTTTGTCACTGTGAATGAAGAATCAGTCCTTTTTGTGCACCAGGAACTCCTGGCAACATAGGAACTAGCTTTTTGACCTTCAGCAAAATCCCAAAAGTTTGTCTTTCCCAATTACCATTGATTTCCTCTGTTCCCAAATAATGAGAGTGAAGGTATCATGTTTAGCCTTTTCCATATGCATAAGGCACTTGACAGCTTACTTTAATGTCTTCTGTCATGTTGCTCTTTTTCATCAGGACCAAAAGAATTTTGATCCAGTTCAAATTGAGCAGGAGATGCAGTCCAAGTTGCCACTGTGGGAATTCCTTCAATTCCCTCTACCCCCACCATGGAACAACACTAAACGTCTAGCTATGATTCATGAGCTTATGCACTTTTGTACGAGTGGTAAGTCCATTGTTTTGTCTTAGCTTCAACTCAGTTTAATTAATGGGCATATATGCCTCTTAAAATTACACCCTTATTTACGAAAAGTATTTTCATTATTGAAAGACCTTTCAGAGGCTAAGGTGGGTATTTTGATTGACTACAACTGTCTTGTTTGAATAATGTTATTAGCAGTGTTGTCATAGCTATAATGCATAACACTCTTCAATTTGATACACTGGGTTTTTTTTTCCCCACTGTGTTTTCTTAGCCACAATAATTCCTTTTTTTCCTCGTTTTCCCCCATCTCTGTCCCAAATACTCCCATTGACATCATTGGAGATGATGTGGTAATCCCATCCTACTTACAGAGAAGTAAAGGGGCGTGTGTGCGTGCATACGCGTGCACACATGCATGCACACACGCATGCACGCATATAATTTCCAAGACAATGCTGCCCTTGTGTCTTTTGCCTGACCACTGCACTGTTTTATCATCATTGCAAATCATGTAAAAATTACAGTAACATTGCAGAGACATTATCTGGAAAGAGAGAAGAGCAACCTGGACCATGCAACTTTGCCCCAATTCAGAGATACCTGTCTTTGAATTTTCATCTTATATCCTGTTGCTGCAGCCACCCACCATCAATAAAACACAGGTTCCAGAAGAGTTTTTCTTCTGTCTCTTCCCATTTTGTCCCTTCATGGTTCTTTCTTTTTTTAATTAGAGAAGAAAAGAAAAAGAAGAGGATCCAGATAATCTGAATTTGGCAGGAATGTTCACCGGGGTAAAACTAATGTGAGCACTACCGTGGACCATCTCTGCACATGAGGACAGGAAGGAAATAAGAAAGAGAGTGACCTGGGAGGCAGATGTAGATTATCTTGTAACCTGTGCTACTGAAAGCTCATATTTGATCCTTTCTTGAGAGAAAGTTCTGAGCACACTATTTATAACCACAAATTAAATTTGTATCTAGAAAGATGAATCATAGAACCATAACATTTCCTAACTGAAAGAAACCTTGGAATTAATCTAGTCAAAATCTATTTTCAGATAAGAAAGCTGAGATCCTAGCAGGATTAAATTATTTGTTTTAGGATTATGACAATGGTGGAAAAAACAAGAAAACATTCTGGTCTCTGGATACCCAGTAGAACACAATTTCCTTACCCTACTGAGCAGGAGACAAGAAGAAAGCCACTGCAGAGGTCTGATGGTGCAGTCTGCAGTTTTAAGCACCTGCTCTGTACCTAGGGATACAGAGATGAGTAGAGAGCCCACTGTCAATAGAGAGCATGTTGCTGAGCAGGAGTTGACTCAAGCTAACAGCTTCTCACAGCAGGAAGAGCCATTTTATGCTCTTTGAAGACAGTGGAAAGAGGGGTCATTAAGATATAATATCTGGAAGCATGTCTCATCTGAGTTCACTGGGATTTTGTGAAATAGGCAGTCATTTCTCAAAGTAAATTCTCGTTCCCACTTGAGGGAATATGCAGATACTACTTATAAGAAAAGACATTAACTTCCACAGACATCTTTACTTGACAAGGAATCATTTAACCTTGAAAAGAAAAGAGTATGTGTGTATATTCTTCCTTACCATTTCATTTGTGAGCCTAACCAAACTAAAAAGTATTTTTATCTTGATTTCTTTTTTCACTTTTAAGTAGGCTTAGTAATAGAAAAAGCCAGGAACTTCTGAGTCTTGCCATTGACTCATGGACATGCTGGGTACAGCGTCGAGGGACTGGTGTGTCATTTCTGTTGTGTACATAACTACCCCCTTCCTGAGTAGGGGGTGAACTTCTGTCCTTTTTCTGTGTCCTGCCACCCTCTCCTTCTCCTTCTGGCTTAAGATGTGATTCCATTCTTAATGAATGGAGAGCTCAGCTCTCCACACGGCACAGGATTTTTGTTCCTGCTGCCACCATTGAAACCTCAAACATATGCTGCTTACATGCCCCATCCTGGACGCTTGGTGCTCCTCTCCTCCTCCTCTTTTCCCTTTTGCCACATCATACTTAACAGGTCCAAAACCAAGCTCTTGATTCCTCATCCCTAAATTTGTCCCTTCACCATCTCCCTTATTTCAATGAATGGCAACTACTTTCTATCAAAAACCTTGGAGTCATTCCTGCTATCTCTGTTTTTGTTTTTGAGACAGAGTCTCGCTCTGTCGCCAGGCTGGAGTGCAGTGGCGTGATCTCAGTTCACTACAACCTCCGCCTCCTGGATTCAAGCAATTCTCCTGCCTCAGCCTCCTAAGTAGCTGGGATTACAGGCGCACGCCACCACGCCCAGCTAATTTTTGTATTTTTAGTAGAGATGGGCTTTCACCATGTTGGTCAGGCTGGCCTCAACCTCCTGACCTCGTGATCCACCCACATCAGCTTCCCAAAGTGCTGGGATTACAGGAGTGAGCCACGGCACCTGGCTGCTGTCTCTGTTTTCTCACACTCTGCAATCAATCCCACCATACTCCTCACTACCATACCAGCCCAGTCCCCCACCACCCCTCACTTGGATTATTCCAATAGCTTTTCCAGCTGGTCTACAGGCTTTCAATGTTTTACCAACAGTCTTTTCTCCACACAACCACCTGAATGGCCCCTCTAAAATGTTGGTTGGATGTGCCTTTGTAACTGAAAACTCTGCAGCAGTCACCCACTTTACTCAGAATAAATCCTAAACTGGGCCAGGTGCCTGGCTCATGACAGTAATTTCAGCACTCTGGGAGGGGAGGCCAAGGCGGGTGGATCGCTTGAGCCCAGGAGTTTGAGACCAGCCTGGCCGACATGGCAAAACCCATCTCTACAAAATATACAAAAATTAGCTGGGTGTGCAGGCCCAACTACTTGGGAAGCTGAGGTGGGAAAATCACCTGCACTCCAGCCTGGGTGAACCTGTCTCAAAAAACAAAACAAAACCAAAAACAACAATAAGAACCTAAACTGTCTGCCACCTACTTTTTGAGCCATCACTTGTCAAGCTGTCATGTTCCATTTTCCTCCATCTACTCTGGCCTCACTGTGATTCCTTGAACATGTCATTCACACCCCTGCCTCAGGATCGTTGCTCTTGCTGTTTGCCCTTCCTCAGTCACTTTCCCCCAGATATCCATACAGCTTGCTCCCCTACTTCCTTCATGTTTTTGCTTAATTGTTCAGAGGATTTTTCCATGACTGCTTTATATAAACTACAAGCCGCTCCCTGACTATTATTACTTTTTGTCCCCTCAGCTGGCTTTATTCTTTTTGTCCTCTCTTTTATCTTTTACATTTATCTCTTCCCAACCCCTAGAACAGATATTCCATGAGAGCAGGGGGCTCACTATTTTGTTCACCACTGTGTTCCCAGCTTTTATTATAGTTATGATGCCTAATAGGGGCTCAAAAAAATATTTGAGAAATGAGCAAATGAGCAAACTCTCCTTCGTTCTGTAACTATTTTACCTCTTCCTTGTCTCTCTTCTGAATCTCCCTGTTTTTTCCCAAAGGACCTGCTGCTTTTCTTATCTTTGCTGGAGAGAAAATGGAGGTTACTTCTGAATTATTGATCCACATCATTTCATTTTTTTCTGATTGGATTCCATGTTTTTTTGTTAATTCTACTTCTCCTTCCTCTACCTTGGAACTTTTAAAGTGTAAGAACCAAATCTTGATTCTTTCAAATCCCAGGCACCTATGACAAAGCCTAATACATAGAAAATAATAACCAATGAAAGAGTGAGCAAGTGAATAAATGCTGTAAAAGGGTAAATACACAATTATAAAGTCTGCTGAAAGCTGATAAACTTTGAAGTGCAATTATGGAAAATACTGCAGCCGTTTGGAAACCTTTCCTGAGCCCAAATGAACAGAAAAACTCAGTCAATATAACAGTCTGTATTAGGCAAAAGTAAATAATTTCTCTGTTTTAAATTACTACAGGAGAAAGGGGTGCTTTCACTCAAAAATAATAAGTTGTATAAGCATATTCAACCTATATGGTACCCTGGAAAGTCCGTGCAAATGAATCTGGACAGCTAATATTGATTAAGCTATGAAGCAGTTTGGGAGCATTATAATTTGCTAAATTGTATCTTTACTGTGTTGTTTGCTTATCCTCAGGTACCTTTGCTATTTGCTGCAGGCTGGGGAGCCAGTGTTTAAAATCAGCTCAACAGCCATTGTGGCGTGACTCCCTTGTCTTTCTGGTAGACAAACTCCCTGGTTGTCCCTCTGTCAACCCTGTACCATGTGCTAATAAGAACATTTCCAGCAGCACGGGTTCTGCTTTCTTACAGATGTCTTGAGCTGGAATGAAGTAGAACGAGCCTTCAAGGTGTTTACTTTTGAGAGCCTGAAACTCTCTGAGGTTGATGAAAATGGGAAACTAAAGCCTTCTGGGATGATGTGTGGGTCAGATTCTGAAATGTTTAACATACCATGGGACAACCCTGCCAGATTTGCTAAACAGATAAGGCATCAATATGTCATGAAAATGAACACTCAAGAGGCCAAGCAGAAAGCAGGTACACTGCATGGAGGAAATGGAAAGCATTCTTGTATTTTATTATTGTCAGTTTTTCTCGTATTGTATCTCATGGATGTTCCTTACACTAAATAGATATTAAAATCAAAGACAGAACAATATTTTTGGATCAGAATTTGTCAATGTCTGTGCAAGATAATGAGAGCAACCAAGAACCTTCAGATCCTAGTCAGTGTGATGCTAACAATATGAAGCATTCTGACTTGAATAATCCCGGACTCTCAGTCCCTGATAATAGACAGCTGTTAGAGCAGGAGAGCATCTTGAAGACTCAACCCCAACATGAGTCTCTGGGTAAGTTAAAGTGTGTGTATGTGTGTGTGTGTGTAAGACACTATTATAGTACACATAAATCAAAAAGTGTTCAAGATGCATTATTTGAATTTAAGTTATTTGGTTAATTAAACTTTCTTACTGAGTATTGTTATTCCATAAGTTCTCTTTATTTCAACCCTGTTTTTAAAAATATCTTAATTCCTATTAGTCCACACTCACCTTAGTAAATTTAGCACAGTGAACATCATTACAACTTTCATCATTAGTGTTACACAGTTATTGTGATTGTGTGCTAAAATTACAAACATTCATCTGCAAAACAGAATGAAATGTCCAGTACAGAGCTTGGTACAAAATCAATGCTCAATGAGCATCATTTCCCCTCCTCTCCCATGTATGGCTCAGGCCATTACTCTCATTGTAGACTAGCATTATAAACAGTGCTATATTAGGAGGTGTGAAAGTATAGAAGGATGTTGGGCTAAATTTATACTGAGCTACCTTACACATCACTGTCAGATTAATCTGTGTAAAATCTAGCAATTTTGTTTCTCTACTTACAACTTTCAAAGGCTCCCTACTATCTGCAAAACAGAACTCAACTCCTTGGCCTACTTCTCTAGTAGTATCAAATTACTTTTCCTAAAACCTTTTTCCATCTTTCTGCTGTTGCTCACACACTCTGTATTCTAGCCCAACAGAATTAGGCCTATTTACTCTGCACAGCCTGCTCTTTTCAATCTCTGTGGTACCTTTCCCTCACAATATATCCTCCACCTTGAGTTCTCTTTTTGACTATGATTAGGATTCAGTGGCACCTCCATGAAGTCTTATTGGATGTGTCCATATGGAAATGCCTCTCTTAGCATTCTATGGTCATAATTAATCTACACTTCTGGTGAAGTGCTGTGGCTCACTCCTATAAACCTAGCACTTTGGGAGGCCAAGTCAGGAGGACTGTTTGAGGCCAGGAGTTCAAGACCAGCCTGGGTAACATAGCAAGATCTCACCTCTATAAAGAAAAATAATAATAATAAAAAAAATCTACACTCTCTTTATGGCATTAGTTGTCCTTTTTTCAGTTTTATAATTATGTATATGCCTATATTAAGGCCTCCATTATACCGTAGTGTCTTAATGATTATATGTTTATTTTAACATATTAACACCTAAATTTAACACCTAGGTCAAACATATTAAAGAACACCAAATTTAACATATTAACACCAAATTTAACACCTAGGTCAAAGAAAAAATTACAATAGAAATTGGGAAATATTTCAAATCAAATGATAATGAAAAAACTGAGTATCAAAACTATAGAATGCAGCAGCTGATGCAAGAGGTACTCCAAAAGAAGTTTACAGCTTTAAATAAATATTTTTCGAAAAGAAGCTAAAGATTAATTAACTAAACATCAACCTCAAGTTAGATAAAGACAAACAAAATAAATCAAAGTAAAATAGAAGGAAAACAACAAAAATATTAAATCGGGGAAATAGAAAACAGATGAAAATTACGTCAATTAAATAGAAAACATAGAAACATAGGAAGAACAAAACTGCAAAACTTGGTTCTTTGAATAGACTAGCAATATTGATAAAAGGTTAATCATAAAAAAGAACCCATGAATAACTCTATCAGGAATAAAACTATATCAGGAATAAGAATTATATAAGGAATAAAGAAACAGAGACTTCCCTCAGGTTCTACAGAAATTTAAAAGACTGCAAGATAATATAAACAACTTTGACTAAATATGAAAATAAAATGGGCTATTACTGGAAAAGAATAACTTACCAATAATGACCCAAGAAGAAATAGAATGCCTGAGTAGTCTCATATCCAGTTAATTATATCAGTAATCAAAAATCTTCCCAAATAGGGCACACTTAGCTCGAATGATCTCATTGGTAACTGATACCAAACACTAAAAAAGAAATAATTCTAATCTTAACAAAAATTATTCCAGGAAATAGAAAAGTAGCATAATGTCCTCTCTTCATTTTATGAAGCTAGCATAAACTTTATAAGAATACGGACAAGGATAGTGGTACAACTGAAAGTTAAACTACTTCATTAAATTAAACTGATTCACAAATATAGATACAAAAATTCTAAATGAAACATGAGCAAACTGATCTAACATATACTAAATAGTAATATATCACAAACAGGTTGCATTTATAACATGGACAGAAGGAAAATATATATATTGTAGAATCAATATAACTTATCAATTAACACATTAGTGAGAAAAGTCATATAATCATCTCAAAAGAGCAGAAACAGCATGTATAATTCTGTAGCAATTTATGAAACAAATCCTATTAAACTAGCAAGAGAAGAAACATTCCTCAATCATATAAACATTATTTTTTATATTACTATGACAAATCTTATATATCGAGGTGAAAAGAAGTAATTCCCTTTAAAATCAGGAGAATGTCCACTATAAACACTTGTATTCAATATTGCATCAGAGGTGTATGCCAACAAGCAAGACTTTTTCTCTTTTAGATAAAAGCATAAGGTTTGAAAAGGAAAAAATAAAACCATCATTATTTGTAAATACTGTGTATGTAGAAAACTCAAAGCAATACACAAAAAAATTGGAATTAATATGAATTTAATAAGGAGGCTGTACTTGTTAAATGATACACATAAGATGTCTGGAGTGCTGAGACTTTACTGTTATAATTATTCCTTGTATTAAACATTTGTGTTTCATGCACTTTTCTTTGTGTGTTATATTTCATAATTTTAAAAGCATTTAAAAAAAAAGTGGTTATGGGCCAAAATTGAATAAAAAAAGTAAAAATAAATTTTAAAAAGTGATAACATGAGAGAATAAGTGTTAAGTTATTATTGACTAATGGTCATCTTACCCTTTTCATTTATCTAGAGGTGGGTCGAAAAGGAAGTAATCAATGGAATAGATTTGGTAGAGGAGGGAATTAGGGTGAATGGAAGAGGGAAGAAAATAACGTTTATTTAATATTGCTCTGCTACATCTCAAGTACATTAACTAATACTTACATAAACATCAGCCTATGACAAAGATGCTATTATCCCAATTCTACAGATGAGGAAACCAAGACTTAGAAAGGTTAAATAATTTGTTCAACTACATACAAGTAGAAAGTCAGGATTGAACAAAGTGCTAACTTCGAACCAGTGCTTCCTCCACTGTGTCTTGCAGCTTCCTGGGTTCCAGAAATTTCTGGTGATGCAGCTAATGATTTAGCCATGCTCCTAGTCTCATTCATGCTGATTTTTATGCTGATTTTGTTGCCTTTGGGTTTTCCTTCTTTCTAACCAGGGTGGATTCCCTATTTCTTTGTCCTAAGTACCATTACCTATTAGCCTACCTCTCAAAAAATGTAAGCCAATAAGTTAACCTGAGTTCTAATGGCAATAGTGTATCCTATGGGACTACAAATGAATGACAGGGAAGTCACTCTGGGTTAATATAGAGTCAGAATAAGCCAGGAGAGGTGTAAGGCCCAAGATGTTTTCTTTGTTTTGTTTCATTTTTTTTCTTTAAAGCAGCTGGATAGTTTTCCTCAGGCAACTTTTGCCACCTGGTGGTCAAACTACATAAATTGGTGTGCTGGACTCTGGAAGAAAGTAGATTCTTATATTAATAGTAACTTCCTAAATTCTCAGGGGTTGAAAATGCTATAGCGGACAGTGTATCCTAGAGGCCACGCAATCTGGAGGGTGGATCTCAGGGCCATACATGTTTCTCCGCTGTGCATTTTGACCTACTTCCAGGAGCCATTCCATTTGAAAGCGGGAGGGCATCTGGGCTTGGTGTCGCACTGTAGCTGTTGTGACTATGGGACTTTGTTGTTGTTGATTTTACATTTCTTTCCCTAACTCTGAATCATACTTACTTCAAAGCGGCCAACTTTAATTCTCTTTAAACAAGGCAAAAATCATTCACGTATTTCCTGCACAACCATTTTAGCATCAAATACATATAAAAGCCTGTTCCTGGACATAAAGGGCTGGATATTTGTGCTTTTCTTAACCAAATACTGGATTTCCATCTGAGACTATTTTTGAACTTGACAGGGCCTAGTGGATATTTATGAAAAACCTGAGAGTTGATAACCGCGAGTCTATAGGTTTAGATGTGCCCTTTATGCTTGTTGGGTGTTTTTTTAATAAAGTAACTGCTTTGCAGAGGGATCTTGTTATCTCTAAAGTAAAACAGATTAGGAAAGCTGTTTTTCAAAGGGATGAGAAAGCATCCATTTCCAGATGTGTCAAAAACTACTGAATCACACTGTCAAAGGATTATGTGGTTGAAAGCAAAAATCAGAAAAAGAAAAAAAAAAGATTTTTACTCTACTATTAAATAAATAATTCAGATTACTTTTAGAATGTTCTTTCCTTTGATAAAATAACTGATGCATAATTTTTAGAACAGATTTTCTAAACTGGAGACTTTTTCTGCTGGATCCAATAGGAGGGAATATCAAATCTCCCGGAAATCTGGCAGACCACAGAATAGAATAATTTTTATCCACAGATTTCATATCAGTTGCTTCAAGGACACATGGGACATCATGGTCTATTTAGAGTTATAGTTGGCTTGAGTTTTCTCTTCAGTGGATGTGTTTATATAAATGCTGAACTGAATTGGCTGTATGGTTTTCCCCTAAATCAAAATGGAACGTTCACGCTGTCACCTTCACCAGGCAAAGGCAAGATGGAACTAGTAGCAAAAATGTAAGTAGCTGTGCTCCTGAAAGAAAGAACAACACTGACCTGTCCTTCATAGGCACAATCAACTTCTCCCTCTTGAAGCCCAAATATGGTACTCTTTGCCGCATAATAAAATGTTGTCTTATGCTTGCCACAGAATAAGACTTTGTTGTAGGTTTTTTTCCACACTTCTAATTTCTCTATATGGCTTTAGGTTCATTTCCACCTTTGATATATGATGTAGATTCCTCTCATTCAATCAAAAGGAAATATTTACTGAGTTCCTGCCAGGTGCTGGGTGCTCAGGGTACAGTAAAAATAATAATAATAATAATAATAAGATGAAGTTTCTATTCTCCAGGAATTTACACATGAGGTGGAGAGACAGACCATAAACAAGTAAGTAGCATTAGGCATAGGTACATGCTATGATAAAAAAAAAAAAAAAAAAGCAGAAGATGAGGCAGAAGGCTCTTGACAAGGTGATACTCGAGCAATATGAATGAAGTCAGGGTCTGAAAAAGGTAAACATCTAAGGCCAAAGCATGCCAGAGGGAAAGCAAGTGCAAGACCCTGAAGGCACAGCAAGCAGGCCAGTGTATCTGTAGTAGAATAAGCAAGGGAGTCAAAGAGTTATGCTTGAAGAGTTAGGCCAGGGCCATTTCCTGTACAACTTTGTCAGACGTAATCTTCATTTATTCTAAGGGTGATAAGAAGTCAGGGCTGTTCAGTTGTTCAGCAACATCAAAGTATATTCCCACAGATTCCACCTCCTACACACACATACTCTTTCTGTGATCAAAAAAATGCTATATACATTATCCATTTCTCGATTAGAGATTCACAATAACAAGAGCAAATTTCAAATTCTAAGACATTCATAGTGAGATGTTCATGAATCTATACTAAACTTACTTATCATGGAACTCTTCCTTCTGGTGATGCAGAAATCAACAATATGAATGTATTCCTTCCTTGTTCATGCACATGGCTGTTTGCTTCATAGCCAAGGATGATACCGCCATCCCAGTCGTCATATAAGCGTACTCTGTGGTCACAAGGAAAGCTAGTGTGCATGACTCATATTGGTCCATAGTGTGCATGACTTGTATTGGTCCATGGAGTCCAGCTACTACTTCATATATTTATTTAACTTTTGTTAAGCTTCATGTGTAAATTAGCAGATGCTCATTTTCATTTTTAAATTAATAAATGATTAATGAATGGAAGGGAAACTCTGCAGAATGGTGAAAGCGTATCATTTTCCAATAGGAAGTGCATTTATCTGCCAGTGCCTCTTTGCACGCATGGCCTGCCCCCACCCTAGTCTGTCATCCACAAGATCCACGGAAATTTAAAAAGGCTTTGTGATAGTCACCAGCACAAGAAGACAAATCATGTGTACTAAGAAGTTGATTTCATCAGTAAATATTTACAACTTTTAAAGGTAAAGATATATTGTTAGAAGTGAAGGATACAGTCTGAAAGCAGAATATCTGGTATGATTTAAGATAGATCACACAAGAAGCTAGGTTCTTTTCAAAGAGCTTAGTATAGTTTTTCTAGGTAGGCACAGATTTAGAATTATGGACACAAACACCTTTCTGGAGGCACAAAACATGCCTTTCAGGCATTGCCTTTTCAGCACAGAAACATAGATCATATGGGCAACAAAAAGCACAGCATTAACCAGCAGGGCAAGAACAAAGCCAGAATACAACTGGATGTTGGTGTCTTTGATTTGCAGAGCAGACCACAAACAATGAGATCAAAGATGATGCAGTCGCAAAGGCTGATTCTCATGAAAAGGTAAGGAATTGTTTTTCTAAAAATGTAGATGATAGGATGATCTGAGCAAAACCATGATTTGGAGTGAGAAACACTGAAAAAGGAAAAAGAAGATACTTAGAAGGAGAATACTGAGGTTAGAAAAGAGGAATTATTCGGACATCCCCAGAGCAGCTCTAACTGGAGAGAAAGGAGTTAATTTTGCTAGGCGGCTTGCACATAACTTCCCAGCTCTATGCTCCTCTCTAGACAGTGTGGCTTGGCAACCTCACAAACACCTGCTCACCATACAGCCATGTAGAGCTAACGTTGTCTTGAAGAGAGTTCAGAAAACCTGCCTGTAATTGCTAACAGGACTCAGAAGAGTATAACCTAACAATAAAAATATTTAGATTATGTTGCCCATAAAAAAAAAAAAGTCAAAGCCATACTCTTTTTGGCAGCAGCTCTCCTAAAATGTTGCCATATGGATTTATACATATGCAGATTTCCCCAATTAGATGGAGTACATGCTGGTTAGTTGACGGAGCCCAAGAGGGCTCCATTTGGACTTAAACAAATTAAAGCTGAAATTGTGTTCCTATGATATTTTAGAAATCCAAGAAGATGATGGTGGAAGCAGATTTAGAGGACATAAAGAAAACACAGCAGCGCAGTCTAATGGACTGGAGTTTTACTGAACATTTTAAACCGAAAGTACTGCTTCAGGTATTTATGGACTGCGATTCTCTAGGAGACGGTCAGATAGGTCTGGAGAGTCTGTTGTGATTTAGAACAGTTCACCTCCAGGTCATTCTCTCAAATCTAGTTCAGATCAATATTCTCCTTTACTTCAGCTATAAAATAAATTTACTTCCAGCTTGAGCTATGCATTCCCAGGGACTCTCTAAAATAGTTTAAAATACACTTTACGAAAGAATGCTTTTATAAAATATTTTAAGAAAAGAAATATACAAGACTGCTGCATATATATTTTTATATATATATATATATACACACACACATATATATACACTTTTTTTGCTGCTGAATATATTTTCTTAAAAAAAGTAAGGTTTTATTGGGAAAAACCCTGTTTTTTTTCCATATTGTTTATCCATTCTACTCAGTTTCACTATATTTCACAGTATTTTCTGTTTTGATTAACAGTTCAATGGAATCTGTGATAGCTAACATTCATTGAGCACTAACCATGTGCCAGGCACTGATTAATATGTATTATTAGCGCATTTAACCCTCACAATAACCCTATGAAGTAGGAACTATGTAAGCAGTAAGAAACTGAGGCACCTTGACCAGTAGTGACTTTTTTCCAAGGTAACGTGGCAGTTAAGTGAGAAGCAAGATATAAATCCAGGAAATCTGGTCCTGGAACTTGTATTCTTAACCACTCTGCAAAATAACAAGTAATCCCAAACCTAAATCCTTTTGCTGTTTTTAGCTTTTACACAAAAACCTGTCCTCTTTTGGTTTTGTCTTTTTAATTTGATTTTTATTTTTGTCAAAGTTTTACCACATGTTTTTTAAGCCAGAAAGTTCTACAAAGTTTTATTATGAAAAACAGCCTCCTTCCCCCATACCCACCCCACTCCACCAAGCCTCAATTCTCAGAGGCAAAAATCTTCAGCACATTTACCCCTTTCTTTTGTTACTTTACTCAGTGATCTCTAAATAGCAAGTATATTTTGTTTAGTTTTAGTTTTGTGACATCATTATCAATCGATTCCCTCTTGAGAACACAGCTTTGCCCACCCCCATCCAACACATACCTGCATGTACAGGTACAGGCTCACCCACCCCCGCATTCATATTAGCACTTCTCCTTTCTCTGATACTGTTAACAATATCATAAGTTTTGGTTAGATCAGTATTCAAAATTCACTTTATTTCAGTTATGTAAGTGCTATTCACAGCTGAACTGTGTAGTATTCTGTAATTATATTTCCTTTATCGGTAGCATTTTTATTTTCTCTGCAGTTAATAATTGCCTCTTTTTCTATTTGTTTAGTTTACTATGTATTTATTATTAACTCATCCCCAAATTCTCTACTACTGAGTAAGTCTCTCAATACATTCAAACATAACAGATATTCTGTTATTCTAACTTTAGATATTCTAACAGTTTTATTGTATTAGTGATATCTCTCCCATATTCCCTAAACTTGCTGCATAGCTGTGGTCCTGGGCCTCCATTTACCATCATCTGGGCCATACCCATCCCCTTCCTTTCCAGTTAGATGCCTGTTTCCTTCATCCCATGTGTTCCCTCTCCGGTTACACTTTTTTTTTTTTTTTTTTTTTTTTTTTTTTTTTTTGTGGAGGATCATCTCTTCCAGTAGCTTCCTTAATTAAGATAGACGGGATGTAAATTTTTGAGTCATTCAATATTTGAAAACAGCTTAATTCTATCTTTATATTGACTGGCAGTCAGGCTTTGCAGTAAATGCTAAATTAAAAAGCATTTTTTCTCAAGACTTTAAAGACATTCTTTGACAGTGTTCTGACTTCCCAGATTGTCCTTAGAAAAATAAATAAATAAATACAATTCTGATTCCTAATCAGTTGTTTGAGTGTGTTTTGATCCTCTCTCTGGAAGATTTTAAGATCTTCTGTTTGTTCCAGTGCTCTTGATTTCCTGTTGATATGCCTTAGTGTGGTTCTGTTTCTATGTATTGTTCTGGCAATCCAGAAATTCCTGTATTTATATTTTGGGAAATTTTCTATAATCATTTCTTCAATAATCTCTCCTCTCCATTTTCTCTGTCCGTTTTTTTCTGGAAATCTTATTACTCTGGTGTTGGACCTCCTAGACTGAACTCGCAATTTCCCTTTCTTTTTTCTTTTAGTTTCCATCAATTTATCTTTTGGCTTTGCTCAATTTCCATTCAGGTCTTATATTGAGCCTTTTATTCCTGTTATTAGTTATTATCATTCTAATTCCTAAAGTTATATTTATAATTCCAAATTACCTTTTTAAAGGATCGTTTCACTTCTTTTTTTTTTTTTGAGATGGTGTCTTGCTCTGTCGCCCAGCCTGGAGTGGCACAATCTTGGCTCAGTGCAACCTCCGCCTTCCAGGTTCAAGTGCTTCTCCTGTCTCAACCTTCCAAGTAGCTGGGATTATAGGCACTTGCCGCCACACCTGGCTGATTTTTGTATTTTTAGTAGAGTTGGGGTTTCACCATGTTGGCCAGGCTGGTCTTGAACTCCTGACCTCAGGTGATCCACCCACCTTGGCCTCCCAAAGTGCTGGCATTACAGGCATGAGCCATTGCATTTCTGATATAATACATTCTCTTATCTCTATGAGGATATTAAAGTCCTCTGAAGTTGTCTTCTCCGTGAATTATCTCTTTTTCCTCCAAGTTTCTTTTCTCTTTTTTTGTCTTTTTTGTTTGGTCTTCATTTTTCATGTTAGAAGGTAATATATAATATTGTCCTCTTTGCTCATATTAATAATGAAACAATAAAAATATGATAGGAAGTGCTATATGAGGTGGGGTGGGAAGCTGTCAATAAGTGAGTTCATTGTTGGGTGATTTGGCTGGGAGATTTCTGTAGGAGACTCACCATCGTTGGTATGTGAGGTCTGTTTCCTTGGGCCATTTAAATTCTCCATGAAAAAAAGAAGTCTAATTTTCTGTCTGAAAGACATAAGCCTTCCTGTCAGTGTTTTGAAAGCTAGGTAATGGGGGAAGGGTATTAAGCTTCTGACATTTATTATCTAGATCTGCATTATCCAATGTGGTAGCCACTAGTCACATGTAACATCTGAGTACTTGAAATGAATCTAGTCCAAACCGAGATGTGCAATAACTGTGCTGTACACTATATAAGTGCTATACACACTCAATTTCCAAGACTTTAAAAAGGTGGCATTAATTACTTTTGCACTGTTTATATGTTGAAATTATAATTTTATCTGTCAGATTAAATAAAATATATCATTAACATTTATTTGACTTGTTTCTTTTTACTTTTTAAAATGTGGCTACTGTAAAATTTAGAATTGCACATGTGGCTCACATTTGTGGCTCATTTTATATTTCTATTGAGCGGTGCTGATTTAGGCTTTTTCACAATTCCCTTTTTTTCTGGCATGTACTTCTCTGTCAGTGTGTCTTGGTTCCACTGTTCTCAGAACCCATTGATCTAGCATCTGTAGTTATCCTCTTCCCCTTTGCTGAAGTGGGAGATAGGCAATAGCCTAGTTGCTCAGAATTTTAATGGGATCCAGGGGCCTAACGGCTTCTTAAAAAGACTTTAAACTAATCTTCCTATTTTCAGTGCCACTTTCACCCCATTTGCAGAGTTAACTAGTATTTCCATATCCTGAGACTTTCTATATTTCTGCACACAAATGGGGTTGCCTCTGGTCTCTCCTAAAATTAATCTCAAGACTTGGCTTTCTGCATTCTGCTAAGTCAGTTAGCCCTTATCCTTTTGCTTTCCAGTTTCTAAAATTCTGGTGCCTTTGTCTCCTCTCCTTCAACAAGTTGAAGTTGACCTTTAACTTTATGACATTAAAAAAACAAACAAAATTTTACTGTTCTTTTAATGAGGTGTTAGGGAGTGCAAATGCTCAATCTTCTCCCTGTAACCGAAAGTTTATTTCAGACTTTATTCTATTTCAGTTTTTCTCTGTCCTTACCGCTCGATGAAACTGCACTTTTCAAGGTAATCAATAATCTTTGTTTTGCTAAATCTAATAGACACTTAACTTTCTTCATCTTCCCTGACCTTTTAACAGCATTGCAGAGCTTATCACCTCTCCTATGAAACACTCTGCACTCTTGGTTTCCTCAGTGTTGTATTTGGAATTTTGTTGACTTCTCCTCCTTTACCCAGCATCTAATATGGAAGTGCCTCAAGGCTCTGGAGCCTCCAGGAAGCCCTAGAACATCTTCTCGCCTCTGTAAATACCCTCCTTTGATGATCTCATCTGTTATATACTATCTAATGCTGACAGATGCCTAAGTTTTTGTCTTTTAAATTACCTCCCTCTAGAGATTCACATTATTATACCTTACTCAAAATTCTACCTGACTTTCTGATCAAATTTAGTATCCATCTCAAATTTAGTATCCCACATGACACTCATATTTTTCCCACCTAAGCATTTCTTCCTTTGTCCGTATCAGAAAAGGTCACCATCATTCAAGTGCTCAAGCAAAAAGCCAGAATCATCCTTTGTTCCAACCTTTCCTTTGTCCCTGATACCTAATCCATCATCAGTGTTTAAGGGGTACACCTCCAAATATATCTTCAAGCTCTTCTGCAACACAGCTACCACTACCTTTTTTTTTTTTTTTTTTTTTTGAGACAGAGTCTCGCTCTGCCGCTCAGGCTGGAGTGCAGTGGTGTGATCTCAGCTCACTGCAACCTCCGCCTCCCGGGTTCAAGCGATTATCCTGCCTCAGCCTCCTGAGTAGCTGGGACTACAGGTACATGCCACCACGTCCGGCTAATTTTTGTATTTTTAGTAGAGACAGGATTTCACCATGTTGGCAAGGATGGTCTCAATCTCCTGACCCCGTGATTCACCCTCCTTGGCCTCTCAAAGTGCTGGGATTACAGATGTGAGCCACCACGCCCAGCCTACTTTTATATGACTGCCGCCCTCTCATTCCACCACAATATCCTCCTGATTACCTGCTTCCACTCTTGCCCTGCTCTAATCCATTCTCCATATATAAGATATTCCATTAATTTCATCTTTTTGGACACACCTCTTTCAAAATAATCTATAAAGCCACAGGTCTGTAGTCCCAACTATTCAGGAGGCTGAGACAGGAGGATCACTTGAGGCTAGGCTTTAGGGGCCAGCCTGGGCAACATAGCAAGGTCCCATCTCTAATTAACAACAAAAAAGATCTTAATCATATTTTAGAGAAAAATCTTATCTATTTTGTTTATTTTTGTTTTCCTAGTACCTGCACAGTGCCTGCCACACAATAGTACTCATTTTTAATGAAAAGCTTAACTAAATAAACTAATGTAACCAATAATATTAATACAGAATAAAAGACAAGCACAAATTAGTAAAAAAGGAGAAAATAAGATATGAAAACTTTACATATTGATTGAGAGCAGCTATAGTTCTGAGAAACTTAGTGCTATATTTTTAGCACCCCAAAGCAAATATGAAAACTCAAAGATTTCAAAGCTCTTACTATCTAAAAGAAGGAAGGATAGATATTCATCATAAATGCAATGGTTTTTTGGGTTTATAGTCTGAGCAGAATTTGCTTTTCAAAAAAACATCAATAAGTACTAGATGATACCCTACATAGCAATATTTTAAAATGCAAAGATATTCACCACATGTATGTTTCTTATGTTGGCTCTGAGGGAACAGATGTAAAAGTGCCACTCCATAAAGATACTCATTCAGGGGACTAAATTGGGGAAGCAAATGTATTGTTTTGATTATGCTACCAATGTAGAATTGAAAGCAAAATTAAAGCAGCCCTTTTCTAACATATTATTCCATGCCTTCAGATCATGCAAACAATTGAAAACCAAAAGCTGCCTCAGCAAATCGATACTGAAAATGAAAACAAAAGCTCACAGCTGTCTAATTTGTTTTTCTTATTGACAGTTTCCTTATTGTTGATTGGCAAAGGAAACAGGATAAGCAGCTGCCCACAGTGCCTCTCTATTGGTGGCTGCCACTGCAGTGCATGCTGAGGATGGTATTTTTAGAAAGGGCCAGAGGTGGAAGGCAGGTAGAAATGGTATGTGTCAGAAAGACCACTCACTTCACTTCATCTAACACGGCGTGGTATAGTGGAGAGAATGCAACATGGTAAAATTGAGAGTTGGAAAACAGGGATGAGCCTTGGCACCATAACACACGGTGTTCTTAGACAAGTCCCTTATTCTCTCTTAGCCCCAATTTATGCTGAAAAAATGAGAATTCTAATTTTGATATGGGAACAATAATCATAATAATTTTAGTCCGCTTGGGCTGCCATGCCAAAATGCCATGCCTGAGTGGCGTGAACAACAGAATTTTCTCACAGTTTTGGAGGCTGTAAGTCTGAGGTCTGGGTGCTGGCATAGTTGGGTTTTGTTGAGCACTCCCTTCCTGGCTTGTGCCTTTGCATTATGTCCTCACATGGCAGAGAGTAAGAAGGAGCGGGGATGGAGAAGGGAAAGAGGGAGGGAGAACAAGTTCTCTGCTGCCTCTTCTTATAAGGGCACTAATCTTATCTTCAGGGCCCTAGTCTTATGACCCCATCCAAACCTCATTACCTCCCCACAGCCCCATCTCCAAATACCATCACACTAGCAGTTAAGGCTTCAACATATACATAAGGATGGTGAACACAATTTAATTCATAGCATCTATTTATCTGGAGTTTTTAATGATGATAAAATGAGATGACCTATATCAAGGCATGGAAAATGCTAGATAAATGACTGCTGTGCTTAATTATTACCTACCAACCTTAATGAAGAACACTTGTAGCAAATGCCTCTCTGCCTGATGCCTAGTATTTGTTTTTCTAAAGTGTTGCTGAAATGCTTCCCAAGCCATCTACCATTCATGCTCTCACCTTCTAGTAGCTAGAAAAGAATCCTCTGGGAATTTCAACTTGACTAACAATGCGGAGGTAAATGTAGGAAGAAAAAGGGAGTAGAGAAATGCCCTAGTAGGAGACCTTTCTCTTTGGGAAAATAAAAAAGATTCTACAATGCAATTATTTTTATTTTCAGGTCCTTCAAGAAGCCCATAAGCAATATAGGTGTGTTGATTCTTACTACCACACCCAAGACAACTGTTTACTTTTAGTCTTTCACAATCCAATGAATAGACAACGTTTGCATTGTGAATATTGGAACATTGCTCTTCACTCCAATGTTGGATTCAGGTAACAAATTTAGAAAGTTTTGTTAATTAGTTGGGTTTAGTTAGCTTGCCAGTTACTTAGTTACTTAGGTGTTAGTTTCTTAGCCTAAGCTAGGGGGTTCAGCTCGATGAAAACATTTGTGTAGTACTATAGATTCAATTCAGCTCACTAAATTGAATGTCAGCATGTGCTGGGCACTGTATAGGCATTGGAGCTCTACCACTAAAGAAAACAGGTATCATTCTTGCCCTCATGGAATCCAGTGAGGATGTTGTTAAATTGCATTTGATTCATTTCGATTCCAGTAAAACTGTCTCCAAAAGATTTCAAGTAGGAACTATAAAACATGACATTCTGCGTGTTGGTTTTTTTAACTCTATTTTATCTGGGGAAGATTCAAAAATAGGTCAGCTGAGTAATATACCAACAGAGCAGTCAGGTTTCCAGCAAACTGAGAGCCTAGGAGTCAGTGATTTTTTTTTCTTTCCAGCTCCTTAGTTATTTCCTTGTTGTCTTAAAACTTTGTTCTCTCTTCTCATTAAGTATGATGATATTTCATTGTTATTTCAATACTGGTTAATGTATTTTCAGTATTATTTGTATAGCTATTTTTTGTTTCAAAGAATACAGAAAGATTTACAGAATGGACTTACATAATAATTGGGGGAATATGCTGTATGTGGGCACACACACATTTTAAAGTCATTTTATGAAAGGAATATGGTAGGTATACTAATATAACACCTTGAACAGTTAAGTTGTGTTTGTCATTGTTTTGTTTTTCATTAACAATAATTAAACATTTTATACCTTTGCCTTATTTACTGGCTAGGATCTCCAATTTAATTTTGAGGAGAAATCCTTGTCTTATTCCAAATTTTAAAGGCAATGTTTTGAATATTCAACAATTAAATGGTTTTGGTTTTTTTTTTTTTGCTCTAGGATTTACATAAATATTCCTTATTAAGTTAAAAAAAAACTATTTCTAGTGTGCTATGAGTTCTCAGTCATAGATGGTCATTAAGTCATATCAATAAGATGATTTTTTCTGGATCAATTTAGGTGTTTATATTTTTTTCTTTAATCTATGAAAGTACTGATTTCATTAACAGACATTCTAGCGTTGAACCAAACTTGTATTCCTGTAGTAAGCCAAATTTGTCCATTATGTTACCCTCTTTATAATTGCCACATTTGTTTGCTAATATATTGTTTAGAATATGTGTATTCATGTGTATTCATGGGCAAGATTCAGCTATAATTTTTCCTTGCTTTAAATATTCCTATTTGGTTTTGGTATTGAGATTGTATTAACCTCATAAATTAACTGGAAAATGTTCTCCCTTTTTATTTCTATTTTTTAATTTTCTGAAATAGTTCGTGGAAAATTAAGATATATGTTCCTTTGGCATTTGGTAGAGTTTGCAGATAAAAACATATGGCCCAGGGAAGATGTTTGATTACTGACACGACTTCTATCATGATTATCAGACTCTTCAGGTTTTCGATTTAATTTTAGTTAAGTTTATAATTTATATTTTTCCAGATATTTGACCATTATACCTGTTTTCAAAAGTATTGACATAAAGTTGATTAAAATATTCTCTTACCTTTTAAACGTGTGTTACATGTGTCTATATTCTTTTTTGTTCTTAACATTTTTAATGTACGATTTCTCTATATTTTTCTGGATCAAACTTGCCAAAGGTTTGCCAGTCTTGCTAATATTTTTAAGAAATCTGTTCTTGCTTTCTGATTCTTTCTCCTTTTATTTTATTTGATTTTGCCATCATCTTGTTTATTTCTCCTCTTTAATTTCCTTGGATTATTCTGATGTTCTTTAACTTCTTAAATTAAAATCTTATCTTGTGATTTCGAGTTGTTTTTTGTTAGTTTTGGTTGGCTTTTTGATCATTAGCATTTAAGGCAAAATCTGTCCCTAGCAACACCTCAAAGTATCTGACAGTATTTTTATTATCTTTCATTTCTAATTTCCATTATCCTTGCTTACTTGACCCATTAATTACACAGAAATGTGAGTTTTCGTTTTAAACACTTGGCTATGTGTTACATTTTTGTTAACAGTTTATAGTTTTAAGATATAGTGGTCAGGTAACATGTTCTATGGAATACTGAGGCTATGAAATTTGTTGATACTTGCTCTGTTGTTTAATATGTAGTCAGTTTTTTAATGCTTAAAGTTTGTATGACAGGAAGGAATATTCTCTAATTTCTGACTGTAGGGATGTATTTTTTAAATCTTCTACAATCTTTTGGATTTTTGAGGACTTGTTCGAAAATTCCATTAATTAACGAGAAAAAAACTTTTTTTAAAAAACCACAGTATTATGATGAATTTGTCAGTTTTTCATTATAATTATATCAGTTTTTGGTTTCATGCATATTGAGGTTATATTATTAAACAAATACAGTATTAGAATTGTTATATCTTCCTGATGAACCTTTTATCCTTATGCAATGTTCCTCTTTATTTCTAGGACTACCATTTGATTTCAGGTTTATTTTGTCTGATAACAATGTTGATATGTTTGACATTAATATATCTGTATAGATTTTATCAGATATATTTTATCTGACATTGATAAGTTATACAAACCTTTTTCTTTAATATTATATCTAGCATATCCTTTCTGCCCATATATAACTTGTAAAATATGTGTAGTTGGGATTTTTTAAAAAATTTAGTCTGACAATATTTGCCTCTTGGTTGAGAATTTAGTACTTATTTTTAGATTGATTTCAATCACCTAATTTTGTCCTTTTATGTTCTCTTTTTCAGTTTCTTTACTTTGAGTTCCATTTTGTTTATTTTCACTAGTGACAATTACATGCTATGTTGTTTGATTCATTCTTTAGAAATTGTGATAAGTATTTTTTAGCTTTATTGAGGTATAATTGATATACATAAAATTGTACACATTTAATTTACACATCTTGAGAGGTTGAACATATGCATATACCCATGATACCGTTACCACAACCAAGGTACTAAACATACCCATTATGTTAAAAAGCGTCCTCATGTTCATTTGTGGTGTTGTTTTTTAAAAACATTGAACACATGATCCCTTCTTTTAACGTATCTTCAAGTGCACAATACCATATTATTAATGATATTTGAAAAACAATTCCCTACACCCACACCAGCCACTGTAAACCACTATTCTATTCTCTACTTCTATGAATTTGACTATTTTAGATAACCTGTATAAGTGGAATCAGCCGGTATTTGTCATTCCTCTAGGTTTATACATGTTACAAATGGCAGGATTTCCTTCTTTTTTAAGGCTGAATGCTATTCCATCATATATACCACATATTTAAATCCATCATCAGACACTGAGGTTGTTTTTTTATCTTGTCTACTGTGTAAAACATTGCAATGAAGATGGGGGTCCAGCTAATTCTTCAAGATGCTGATCTTTATTTTTTTGTATACATACTCAAAAGAGGGATTGATGGATTATATGGTTGTTCTATTTTTACTTTTTGAGAAACCTCTATGCTATTTTCCATAGTGGCTGCACCTTTCTACATTCCCTCCAACCATATATAAGGGTTCCAGTTTCTCCACATCCTTTCCAATGCTTGATATCTTTTGTTTTATTTTGTTTTGTTTATAATAACCATCCCAGTATAAGTGAAATGATATCTAATTGTCATTTTGATCTGCATGTCCTTGATGATTAGTGTTGAACACCTTTTTATATACCAAATCTAGCCAGTAAAGACTGGAGGAGAGAACTGCTTCTTAAACTGCAAAGACAGCAACAGAAAACTTCAAGGAACATGACGAATTCAGGAAATATAAATGTGACCAAAGGAATGCATTTATAACACAACTGAGAATATTGTACCCAGCAAATGTAGCCTTCAGAAATGAAGGAGAGATAGTCTTTCCCAAACAAAAGCTGAGGGAGTTCATCACCACCAGACCTGCCCTTCAATAAATACTCAAAGGGAGCTGTCAAGTTGAAATGAAAAACACTAAATAGCAATGTGAAAACTTATAAAAGCATAAAACTTACAGGTAAAGGTAAGTATATAGTCAAATTCAGGATACTTTAATATTGTAATGGTGGTTCATAAATCACATTTAACACTAACATAAAAGTTAAAAGACAAATGTATTAAAATAACTAGTTGTGATGATTCATTAATGGATACACATTACAAAAATATGTAAATAGTGATGTCAATAACATAAAATGTTGGGAGGGGAGAGTCGCAGCTACATGGGAGTCTTAGGCTGGAGGATCATTTGAGCCTAGGAGTTGTACTCCAACCTGGATGAGATATCAAGACCGCATCTCTAAAAAATGGAAAAAGACAAAAAAAACTTCTCCAAATGTGTGTTTTTATGTAAAATCGAAGTCAAGTTTTATCAGCTTAAAATGAACTGTTATACATGTACGGTGTTTTATGTAACCACAAAGCAAAAATCTATAAGAAACACATGAAAGAGAAAGAGAAAGGAGTGAAGCAATCACACTGCAAAAAAATCAGCCAGTCAAAAAGGAAGACAGGAAAAGAGTAAGAAAGAAACAAAAGAACTGTAAAACAAAATTGAAAATTATTCAACACAATCAAGTGGAATTTGTAACTGGAATGCAAGAAGGGTTCAATATATACAAATCAATAAATGTAATATACTATGTCACAGAATGAGGGTAAAAAAGGAAACAATAAACTAAATGGCAACGGTTTATTAATAATTACATTAAATGGATTAAATTTCCCAGTTCAGAGTGGATGAATGGATAATAAAACAATATCCAACTATACTCTGCCTGCAAGAGACTCACTTTAGATTTAAGGGCACAAATAAGGTGAAAGTGATGAGAGAGAAAAACATATTCCATGCAAATAATAACCAAAAGAGATCAAGGTTGTCTACACTTATATCATATGAAATAGGCTTTAAATCAAAAATTGCTACAAAAGATAAAGAAAGACTTATAATGACTACATAATTATATAATGACAAGGTCAGTTCTCCAAGCAGATACACCAGTTGTAAATATGTATGTACACAGCATTGAACAGCAAAGTAACCTAAAGCAAATATTAACAGAACTAAAAGAGAAGTAGACAGTGATACAATAGCACTAGGATTGGATTCCTAATTTTAAGTGTTCTTACCCTACAAAAAATAATAAGTTTGCAAGATAGTATGTATGTTAATTAATTCAATTTAGCCATTCCACAGTATATATATTTCAAAACCACATGCTGTACATTATAAATATTTATAATTTTTGTTTACTTAAAAATAAATTAAAATTCAAAAAATGAATTACTATCTTAAAGTATACACAAAAATCAACTGAAAATGCTTAAAGATTTAAATGTAATTCCTTCACATTACTTGACAGGGAAAATCATTTTGAGCTTATGGCTTCCTAGGGGCTAGATGACATGGCCCAAGGAGAGAAATGGTAATATGAAGAGATCAAGGATCAATTGTCTGTAACTTTTTCAATTCTTCTGAAAGTAATCCTCTATTTAGATTTGTTAATTCTTCAATCAATTTGAGTAATTTCTATTTCTCTAGGGAATCATGCATGACATCTAGATTTTCCAGTCTATTGGCATAAAATTAAACAGAGTATTCTCATGATTAATGTCTGTTTATGAGAAGGATGTTTTCATATCTTTTTATGATTATGGATTTATTTACTCCCCTTTCTATTATTTTGACATGTGTAACGTGTGTGCAAATTTATTTTTGAATCCTTCTTAATTGAGGACTTTTATCAATCTGATAAAATGTCCCTCTGTGTTCCCTTTAATACTTTCTACCTTGTATTTAATAATGTTTGATATTAATATTTTTGGATAGTCTTTCTTTATATAAGAATTTGTTGGTATAACTTTCCCAGTCATTTTATACATCAGGTAGGTATTGTATTTCACTAGGTTAATGTAAAGTTGACTACCGGGGTTAAACTAAGAAGAGGATTACTTTTCTCCTGCAGCAAGAAATCTGGACTTGGGCAGTGCTTCAGAGCTAGTACAACCGCTCTAAAAGTCATCAAAGACCTAGGCTTCTGGCTTCTTAGTCTGCCATCTGCCACACTTCTATCTTTCTGCATAATTTCGTTTGTATGTACATCTCTTTTAAATAGCACTTTGAGGCCAGCCCAGTGGCTCATGCCTGTATTCCCAGCATTTTGGAAAGCCAAGGCAGGAGGCTCACTTGAGGACAGGAGTTTGAAACCAGCCTGGGCAACATGGCAAAACCCATCTCTACAAAAAAATACAAAAATTAGCTGAGTATGGTGGTGCACACCTGTGGTCCCAGCTACTTGGGAGTGTGAGCTGGGAGGATTTCTCAAGCCCAGAAGTTTGAGGCACCTGTGAGCCATGATTGTACCACCGCACTCCAGTCTGGGTGACAGAGCAAGACCTTGTCAAAAATAAGTAAATAAATAGTAGCTTGCATTTTTTTACTCTGATAGCCTATGTCTTTTAAAGGATTTTAATAATAATTTAAAATAAATTTTAGTATTTTAAATGCTAAAGAATTTAATCCATTCACTTTTACTTTTATTGGTAATGCATTTTGTTTTATTCTTACCATTTAATTTTATAAATAAATTTCTATGTAGTATTAATCTATTTTCTTTTGTTAGACTGAATATTCTAAGTTTATTCTGAGTGTGTGAATTTTAAAAAGTTATACATTCTATTTATATTCTGCTAGAGGTTATACTTACCCTTTTAAATAACATTGATATATTTTTATCTCATATCTGGAGTTAATGAGTATTAATATTATTTTGCAAAAAAAAATTTTAATTTAACATAATTCCATTTACCCCCAACAAATTCCTACTTCTCATTTTGGAATTGTCTAGAACTATTGTTTCTCATTGTAAAGTAATAGTTTCTAATCACAAATTAATAGCATAGTTACATTTAATTGTAAATCGTACTGCTTTTTTTCTTGACCTGTTAACTTATATCCAATGTTGTCTTATTTCTCTGATTTATTTTTTTAATGCAACTGGATTACGTTTGTGAGTAAATATTTCAGAAAGCATCTATGTGTGGTAAGCTTTCCGAATCATTGCATGCTTAATATTTATTTTGCTCTCTCATTTGAAGACTGCTTGAGCTGTATATATAAGTCTATGTTTCCTTGGTGTAGATTACTTGTAAGTATTCTGATTTTTATTTGACATGCAGACTCATTAAAAAGGTCTGAGCAGAGGAAAGACATGGTCTGACTTAAGAGTTACAAGGATCATCCTAGTTGCTATGTTGAGAATATACTTTGGGGGTAGGAGCAGAGAAACCAGTTGGAGGCTATTGCAGAAATCCTAGCAAGAGATGGTAATGGCTTAGACCAGGGCAATACCAGTAAGGGTAGTGAGAAGTCAGCATATTTTGAATATATTATAAATACATTTTTAAATATTTTTAAATAATTTTACACAGCAATTTAGATTTCCTGACAGATTGGAAGAATATAAGAAAATAAGAAGCCGGGCATGGTGGTGGGCACCTGTAATCCCAGCTACTTGGGAAGCTGAAGCAGGAGAATTGCTTGAACCCAGGAGGCGGAGGTTGCAGTGAACTGAGTGGTTGCACCACTGCACTCCGGCCTGGGCGATAGACCAAGACTCAGTCTCAAAAAAAAAAAAGAAAATAGAAAATAAGAGTAATAAAGGAGAACATCAGGGTATTTGACCTGTTTAACTGGAAGTGTAGACTTGCATCAACTAAAAATGCCAGAGAATTTGGATGCTGCAGGTTGGAGTAGATCCAGAGTTCATTTGGGGACATGTTGAGTTTAAGATATCTATTACCTTCTAAATGAAGATGTTGGGTACCCCCATAATTCATATTTTACATTTATAGTTTATTTCTCCAAAAAGGATGAAGAATTAAAACTATTAAACAACCTGAGTATATAATCCATCTAGCTTTATTTTTTTCAAAACTTTAAGCCTCACTTTCACATAATTTGACAATAACTAATTTTTATTGTGAAATCTAAATCTTAAAACTAATGTCCTCAGAAACAACTCTCTTTGGACATTCATATAAGTATATATAACATCTAATTTAAATAATTACACTAGTCAGTATAAATGATGTGAATGAATTTGGGAACAAATATGACTGTTGGTAAGCAACAAATTGCCAATGAAAGCATAAACACACAAACAGTTAGAGAATAGTATTTAAGATGTGCATATTCATAAGGTCAGTAAGCTTCATAGCAAAGATATAGTGATTTAGTTAATCCAGTGAGTATTAACTGGTCATCAATTTTAAAAGTTCCTAATGTGCTATAAAATTACCTGAAAAAGAGATTGCATTATATTATTCTTCAACCAACAGTGGTGAAAGTGATCATCTCTTCAAACTGTCATTACCTCTTGGTATTATTAAACTTGTTAATCCTTCACTTTGGTGGAAAGATCTCATTTCTTTTTTTATTTCTTAAACCCAAAGCCTAGTGAGTCAGATGAAAGATCTCATTTTTAAATTTACATGTCTTTAACTGTGGATGAAGGGCATTTTTCATATGCTCATGGGATATTTGTATTTGACTATTTTGTGCAAAATACATCTAAGATATATTCAAACTCATTATATTTGCAACATGAGCAAAAAGTTTATTTACACAGTCAATATCTTTAGTATTTATTGACTTTCATAGTAAATTGACATTTGTTGTTGTTTTGTTTAGGAATTATTTGGAACTTGTTGCAAAATCTATTCAAGATTGGATTACAAAAGAAGAAGCTATATATCAGGAATCTAAAATGAATGAGGAAATCATCAGGACCAAAGCTGAGCTGGAATTGAAATCTGCTAATGCCAGACTTACTTCTGCTAGCAAAATCTTTTCCCTTAAAAAATCTAAAAGTAAGTAACCAGTTCAACTTACACGTGGAATAAAATTCAAGAACATTCTTCTATCTCTTAATTTAATCAAGACTCTGAATATTTCAGCATTAAAAAGAATTACTCAAAAAAGTTCCTGTGATTCTTCACTTTCTCTAGTAAATAGAGTAGCTGCATTCCAAAAATGGGATTGTACCTGAGTGCAATAATAGAATATTTGTTTATATTGACCCCACTTCTTGTCAAATCTGGAAGATTCCATCTGTTGTGCAGATCAAATGTTACATGTTAGAGAAATGCCAAATACCTTTATTGGTAGGATTGGTAAATTAAGCTATCTAAGATTTGTTGGCAACATAAGAAGTAAATTCAGAGTTAATAGATATCTATTTGAACAATTATAGAATCCAAAAGTGAGATTAAAACAAGATCTTTCTTAGAACAGCATACAGAAGGGTCCCAAGACTAACTGGGAGTAGGCATCTAAAGATAATAGGGAAAGAGATTTTTGGAGGCCTGTGGCCGGTACTTGACAGGATATTGGATCAATATATACCTTTGTTGATGATGATGTTGTTGTGGTGGTTATGTTGTGTTATTGTGGCCTTGAGGCTGTGGGCAGAAGGGGAAGACGGTGACAGAGTAAAATAGACTTTTAGAAAGATACTTGATAAAGAAGTGAAACAATGAGATAATTCATCTAGAAAATAATCATATTTCATTGTTTGTTCAAAGAAAATGGACTCCTTGTTAATAATATTCATTTATTATAGCCAAAATGAGAGGGATTTCTCATAAAGGAGCAACGCTACATAACTTCCAAAATTTTGGCAACCTCTATCAATTACCAAAGGAGTTTGTACCTGGCATGATTTTAAAGTAAACCATATAAAACCAAGTTAATGATGAACCGTTTACCATATCGACCAAAATGGTTGTATAATCTTATCAGTTCTGGGTCCTGATGGGGACCCAGAAGGAGAGCATTAAGTACCTAAAAAAAAGAAAAAGAAAAAGAAATAGATAGGACTACGTTTTTTAAAAAAATGGGTAGGGCTGCCCTCTAATACTCACGTCTAGGGCCACACCTGCCTATTAGTAAGATAAAAAATGTGAGTTTACTGCCTTTTCTTTATAATACTACTGAAAAGACCAAAAACCTGTGAAAATCTAGATAATGGTTAATTTGGTATTGGATGTACCTGGTAGATATTGCATTCAATTTCAGGTCTCTCAAGTACAGAAAAGTATAAGTCTTCAAAATAGAATGACTACAATGGCAAGAGAAGGGCTTCAATGTGGATGGAAACGTTAGATTTGTTCGGTGTAGTCTTAAAGTGGTAAACTAGGATTATTAGGTGAAAGCTTTAGAGAGAGAGAGACCGCAGTTCGATAAAAGCTGCAACGTATCAACACACTGAGAATGGAATGAACTGTCCCCAGAAACTGAGCTCCCCATCACTGATGTGGCTCAGTCCCATTTCAGATGTTCATTCTAGAGATGGCAAGAAAAAAATCAGAGATAAATAAATGAGAAGTTGAACTTGAAAGCCTTTGAGATCTCATCTAACCCAGAGATTTGGTCCTTCTATGATATCTTATTTAAGAGTTACTAAGAAGTTTAATTGTGTCTGATTATAGGTTACAAAGGAATCAGCAAAACAGAGATATCAGATCAAGAAAAAGAAAAAGAGAAGGAAAAGATTCCTTTCATTTTAGAAGGCTCTCTCAAGGTAATCCAGCTTACATAAAGTTTAAAAACAGGCAAAACTGAACTACAGTATTACAGAACAGGATAGTGGCTGCCTTTGGGGCAGTAGTGATTGGCAAGAAGCATGAGGATGGCTTCCTGGAAGCCGGAGACCATCTCTTTTTGACCTGCTGGTACTTACAGGAGTGTCTGATTTGTGCTATTTGTGCGTTTTTGTGTGTATGTTACAGCTTATTTTTAAACAGTTTTTGAAAAACTCTGTTATGTTTTTCCCATTATGGTTTAAGGGCTTTTATGTTATTGATTCTACTGGGTTGATTCCACTTTGAGATATACATATATATTTTTATGCATTCTCTTAGAATATTTTTATAGATTTTTTTATATTTAGATATCTATCTAAAATGTATTTTTATATAGTATAATGTAAAGGTCTTACTTTTTCTTTGTCCAGATAGGCTATGTTACTAGTACTTTTTAATTAAATATAACATTAATTCTCCCCACTGAATTTGGGTGCCGATTAGATCGCATATTAGGCACCCATTTATTCTTTGAATTCAATTTTGAATGTTGTATTCTGTTTCAGTCACCTACTTAATTATTCCTATGCATGTGCCATACTATTTTAATTATGATAGCTTTGTTGCAAGCTTTAATACTAGGTAAGCAAGAGCCAACTTCCCCACCCCTATGAGAATTCAATAAACATTTAAACAAAGTTGATTAATTTTGATGAGCCTCTGGTTTCTGGATATTAATAGTAAAGAAAATTATATGCCATACCATCAACTTTATTGTTAATTGCTGCCAAATTTTATTAATTTTTAAACTCTCTTATTTGTTTGGAGACTAATATATGTTAGTTTTCCTCTTTTGTTGATATATTGAATTATAGAGATTGATTTAACAACACAAGTTGCATTTGCATTTCTATAAAAAAATTCATGGTTTCCTTAAGTTTAGTTCTCATCCCACATAACTACATATATCATAATTGCCTAAGGGTGTCTGGTGGGAGGAGAGACTTAGTAAAATTCACATTCCTTTACTCCATCCTAACTGCATCTTTGAGAGTAGAACCTAGTAATTTTAATTTTAATAATCTCCTGGGAACATCTTTACATACATAATAGATAAAAATTACGGTACTATATGTTCATGGCATATTGTTATTTCCATAAAAATCTGGGTTTGATTTGATAGCATTTTATTTGGAATTTTTATATCCATGGTGAATGAAATTGGTCTATAGACTTTTGTGTTGTTATTAACAAGCATTGGTATTAAGGTTATGTTGGCTTATAAAAACTTATTTTTGTTACTTATTTTTTAACTGAGAAAAATGGTATATATTTCTGGTGTACAACATAACGTTTTGAATTATGTACATATTATATAATGGCTAAATCAAGCTAATTAACATATGCATCACCTCACATAGTTATTATTTTTATGTGGCAAGAATACTTAAAATCTAATTTCTTAGCAATTTTCAAGTATACATTTCATTGTTATTAACTATAGTCATCATGTTGTACAATAGATCTCTTGAATGTATTCCTCCTGTCTAACTGAAATTTCACAACCTTTGACCAACGTCTTTCCGATCCCCTTTCCTGCAGCCCCTGGTAACCACCATTCTACTCTCTGTTTCTGTGAGTTCAGCTCTTTTAGAGTCCACATGTAAGTGCGATCATGTGCTATTTGTGTTTCTGTCCCTGGCTTATTTCATTTAATATAATGTCCCCCAGGCTCATCCATGTTGCCGCAAATAACAGAATTTTCTTCTTTCTAAAGGCTGAATAGTATTCCATTGTGTGTGTGTGTGTGTGTGTGTATGTCTATATATACTTTTATATACTATAATAGTTTATATATTATAATAGTATTATATATTATATGGTTTATATATTGTAATAGTATTGTATTTACAGTATATATAACACTATATTAATTACACTATATATTATAACTATATATTATATAATATGTATTATGTATTTTGTGTATATATACATACATAATACATAATGTAGTATGTACATAATGTAATATATGTATACATAGTATTATAGAATATATACATAAAATAGTACTCCATTGTGTGTATCTCACATTTTCTTTATTCATTTATTTGTTGATGGATGTTTAGGTTGATTCCATATCTAGGCTATTGTAAATAATGCTGCAATAAACATGAGTATACAGATACCTTCTCAAGATATTGATTTCAGATCCTTTAGATATATATCCAGAAGTGGGATTGCTGGATTATATGGTAGTTCTAATTCTAATTTTTGAGGAGCCGCCATACTGCTTTCAATAGTGGCTGTGGTAATTTACATTCCCATCATCAGTGTACCATGGTTCTCTTTTCTCCACATCCTCCCCAACATTTATTATCTTGTCTTTTTTCTCATAGCCATTCTGTCAGGTGTGAGATGATATTGCATCATGAGTTTAATTTGCATTTCCTTGCTGATTAGTTATGCTGGGCTTTTTTTTCCTGAACCTGTGGGACGTTTGTAAGCCTTCTTTTGAGAAATGTCTGCTTGGGTCCTTTGCTCATTTTTTAATTGGGTTATTTGTTTTCTTGCTACTGAGTTGAGTACCTTAGGTATATTTTTAGATATTAACTTCTTATCGGTTGCAAGTTTTCGAATATTATGTCATATTCCATAGGTTGTTTCTTCACTTTGTTGATTGTTTTCTTGTTGTGCGAAGGTTTTAGTCTAATGTGATGCCATTTGTCTATTTTTGCATTTGTTGCCTGTGCTTTTGAGGTCATATTCAAAACATCATTGCCCAGAACAATGTGATGGAGATTTCTCTTGTGTTTTCTTCTAGTAGTTTCATAATTTCAGGACATACATTTATGTCTTTAATCCATTTGGTGTTGTTTTTTATGCATGGACATTAGATAAGAGTGTAATTTCATTCTTTTGCATGTGGATATCCAGTTTTCCCAACACCATTTATTGAAAAACTTGGTCTTCCTCAATTTTGTGTTCTTGGCATCTATGCTGAATATGAATTGACTGTACATGTGTGCATTTACATATGGGCCCTCTATTGTATTCCATTGGTCTGTGTGTTTATGCCAGTACCATGGTGTCTTGATTACCATAGCTTTATAGCTAACCATTTTGAAATCAGGTAGTGTGATACTGTTACCGGTGGTGAATCCATATGGGTCTGCGGCAACCTCAATTCTTGCCTCCTCAGAAGAAAGAATTCAACTGAGGTACATAAGGCAGAAGGAGAGTCTGAGGCAAGTTTTAGAGCAGAATTGAAAGTTTATTAAAAAGCTTTAGAGCAGGAATGAAACGAAATAAAGTACACTTGGAAGAGGGCTGAGCAGGTGACTTGAGAGATCAAGTGCACAGTTTGACGTTTTGACTTGGTGTTTTAAATGTTGGCGTACTCCAGGGTCTTGCATTACTTCTCCCATGATTCTTCCCTTGGGGTGGGCTGTCCACATGTGCAGTGGCCTGCTAGCATTTGGGAGGGGAGCAGGCATAGTATGATTTCTGGAGTTGTATGCATGCTCACTTGAGACATTCTTCCCTTACCAGTCTAGCATTCCTAGAGGAAGTTCATATACCAGTTAAACTCCACTATTTTGCCTCTTAACGCACATTTTTGAGCCCACTCACCCAACTCCTGAGGTCTCACTGGGAAGCAGCTGATCACCAGTTTCAGGTGTTTTCCATCTACTGGGAGACGCCCCTTCCCTGGCACCAGCTGTGACCAATTATTATTTTAGAGAGACAGTTAACAACTGCCTGGCCATCACCTGATGGTCATCTGGCATTCCTGTTGTGTGTAATGGGTGGCAGCCCTCATCTGCCCTGCTCATGCCTGACTAGCTACCTACTGTAACAATACCTCTAGCATTTTTATTTTTGCTCAAGATTGTGTTGGCAATTAGGAGTCTTTGGTAATTCCCTACAAGTTTTAGGATTTTTTTCTATTTATATGAAAAGATGACATTGGAATTTTGATAGGGATTGTATTGAATCTGTAGATCACTTTGGGTAGCATGGACATTTTTATTGTGTTGAGATACATTTCCTCTTTCTCTACCACATTTCTTCTTTATCTACTTTGTTGAGAGTTTTTATTATGAAAAGATATTTGAGTTTGTCTTATGTTTTTTCCACATCTATTGTGATGATCATATGATTTTTATCCTTCATTCTGTAATATGGCGTGTCACATATATTGACTTGAATATGTTGAATCATCTTTGCATCCCGGGAATAAATCACACTTAATCATGAAGAATGAGACTTTCAAATATGCTGTTGAATTCAGTTTACTAGAATATTTTGGAGGATTTTTGCATCTAACATCACCAGGGACAATGGCCTGTCATTTTATTTTCTTGCAATGTCTTTGTCTAGCTTTGGTATCAGGGTAATGTTGGCTTCATAAAATGAGTTTGGAAGTATTCTCTTCTCTTTAATTTTTTTCATAGAGTGAGATGAATTTGTATTAGTTCTTTAAATGTTTGAGATAATTCGTTAGTAAAGCCATCAGGTCCTGGGCTTTTCATGATGGGAGACATTTTCTTACAGATTCAGTCTCTTCATTGTTATTTGTCTGTTCAGTTTTATATTTCTTCATGACTCAATCTCGGTAAGTTGTATGCTTCTAGGAATTTATTCATTCCATCTAGGTTATCAATTCATTAGTGTGTAATTATTCATAGAACCCTCTGTGATCCTTTGTATTTTATTTTATTTATTTTTATTTTTATATATGTATTTTTTTGAGATGGAGTCTCGCTCTGTCGCCCAGGCTGGAGTGCAGTGGTGCGATCTCTGCTCACTGCAACCTCTGCCTCCCGGGTTTAAGCGATTCTTCTGCCTCAGCCTCCCGAGTAGCTGGGACTACAGGCACCACCACGCCTGACTAATTTTTGTATTTTTATTAGAGAGGGGGTTTCACTATATTGGCTAGTTTGGTCTCGAACTCCTGACCTCATGATCCACCTACCTCAGCCTCCCAAAGTGC